GTCAACTGTAAATACAGTGATTGATCTTCGCTGTCAGCTAATTATGTATGTAGTTTAGACATACGCGTGACTAATCCTAACAAATACAGCTATTATTTCATTGATTGGTAGATTGTGAAAAATTTCGCGTTCACGCTTTTTTATTTACCAATAATGAAAGGTTTGGTTTAAAGATTACGACCATAAATGACCGCAGCTGCGTTTATTTGCTTACGATGTATTCGCGAGATAGTTTCATACTTTAGGTATCTTCCGGTAATTTAGTTGTCACTACAAGGGTGTAAATAGGTTTTCCGATGATAAGGATTTAATAAAATAAACTTGGCTTTATCGTGATATTATTATTAGTCTATTGAAATATTTTGTGGCTTTTTGTGGACTGTTTTTTCACCAAAAAAGTTCCAAACAAACAATGACATGTATATATGGAGAGAGTTCTTTTGATTGTAAAAAGTGTAAAATTAGTCTTGTTAAACCTATTTAATTGTAGATTAGTTTACACCCAAATTATGTCTTTCCAAAAAATATAAAACTTGAAAAGCAGTTAATTGGACTGATGTAAAGACATTAAGTAATAGCAAACATAAAAAAATAAGCAAAAATTCTGTTGAATTTCTGTTGTTCATAACCTACTTAGTAATGTGAGAATTTTCTAATTTTTTGATAGCTTCGAAAGCATGTTTTCATTTTGTCCGTACATTTGTTTTGAACAATTACATTAAGCCTATATCGTATCGTGACCCTTGTCAAAACAATTTAAAATTTCTCATTATCAGAAAACACATCACATGCTTTCGCGTTCTTGAGAAATTACGTGGGTCGGAATCATGTTATTGCGTCTAATTTCCTGCGTGCTACAAACGACGCTAAGTGCTGTTTGAATGCAATTGTGACGCCCAACACGCTCAAAGTTGTCGTCATAATGTTTTTGCAATGACACGCACGTTAAAAATTTAGAAGCTCCAATTATATAGATAAAGCAACAAGAAAATTTACAAAATATTTCAAAAAACGTTTTTGCATTTTGCATTTTATGAAATATAAAACGCTGGTTAGATTAGAATCTGTGGCAAAATCCGTATTTCCTAAGTACCGACAGTGAATAAAGCACGTAATGTAAGTTTTATTGGTGTGATAATGCACTACATTTAATTTCTATATTATGGTAGTGAATTTTCTGTAATTTTTTGTACTGCGCGATTGCACCCCATATGTTACAATCCAAAATCGAAACTCTTTGTTTTATAATTAAATTACCCGATTTGAAAAAATAAAGTTTTTTAAGATTCTATAGTCTTTTATTTGAAAAATATTTCACTCGTATTTTTTGTCCAAGCTTCAACCAAGGATAATGATTGCATGAACTGCAAAAAACAACTGAGAATTAGATATTGTGTTATGTTTAAAAGTTAGACACTGTGAAATCATATTTACTTCAGTGTATTTTATTATAGTGTCTGCTTTGTGATAGGGAATGATTAAATATTAAAGAATATAAGATTTAATTCGATTTTATTTTTTTGTCCAAATCGGTATCGCTGAAGTTTGTTTGAAGCAAGTCACATATAATTACCCAAAATCGATCGGCAGTTTGTGGGTCATATATAAGTTTTTGTCGAAGTCTAGATATTGTAGGCTTAATCTGAATGCTTTTCACTATGTAAATTGATAAATGATAAGTTCTAGAGTTGATAATTTAGATAGGTTATGAATAACCAATCGTTTAACTTTGTATAAATGTTGTCACTAATTTCCTTTCAAAATATGATATTGTAGTAATGTTAGAATTAGAATTAGCCATGTCTAATTAATACGCGCGTCAAATTGTGGAAATTTATTAGTTTTTAAGTACTGTATGCGTACAGTATATGTCGTCGATCGTTGCTATAGATAAATTAATTAATCGTAGCTAAGAAAATAGAAGAGAAAACAGCACGAAGTTGTTAGAACACAATAATTGAAATCGTTCCAAAAACCACTTAAGATTGCTTTCAGAATGTAATATTTATAACGTGCACGTGAGTTTCAGTCTCAATTATTATTCTGCAGCAATGCAAGACTCATGCTGAAGTGGTTAAAACATAGGGATTTACTAAACGAGAAATAGGCAGTGCTAGAGTGAATATCAGAAATTTTACGTTAATTACCAAGATGAAAGGGAGTAGAATAACGCGATGTTTTTGACTAAATAAAGAGAAATGTTCTGGTAGTATGAGAAAAGTGGGAGAATAACTCTGTATGTTGTTTAGTACATAATCTGTGTGTGATACAACATTTTTATGACGCGCACCATACAAGAGTCGGCAAAAGTAATCATTTATAAATTTAGACAAACAAATCATACTGAGATGAAAAATATATATTTGTGAGTCGTGACATATTGTGGCGTAGCAAAAAATATTAAATATCACTTAATTTAATTTATTGTAACGGATATATGAATGGGAAGCCGACAATCGAAAACCATTTTTACATTTTATTATGACTATACAAATACATTTCCAGCAAACTTACATATTGTTGTACTGTATGTTATTAGTTGTTGTATTTCTGGTTCGGCCTAGTTTATTACATTTCAAATATGTGACGTGGTGTTTTATCACACAGTTATTCTAAAACATCAACTCAAGAAGAATTACACCCAGAGATTATAGATTGAGAAGATAAAGATAGTAATATAGCAAATTGTCAAACTGCGAAAAAAATCATTTTTATTCTTAAAATTTTATCATTCGCCGACACGAAAATAAGAAAGTTACATTGGGATTAAATTGTTTCTTTTTTTAGAAAAAAAATCGAAAACGCCGATTTAGTGATGACGCATATCAGTTAATTTTCATTTCTATAAATAGGAAATACAAATTAAATGTTTGTTAGTAAAATTACAATGTTGTTCAATTACCAGCGGGGAAAGTGGTAGTGGATGATTATAGATTTCTGGTTATTCATACTTGATTCAATTCTTATACAAAATACAATTTGATTCAACTTTAATTTCTTAGGAATATATATATATGCCACAGATTATTTTGAAGATACGAATGTATGAAACGACAGGAGAATAGAGTATTGTTAAGAGAAAATATTCTCCGTTAAATTCTTGAGGCACTTTTCTACCAAAATTTAAATTTGTAATGAATCTAATAATTTATATATATAGAAAATGGGAGTCTCAGATGATAAACAGAGGCGATTTGAATTGAATTTGAAGCAAATGAACTCTACCCAACAAATCGTTTCTTGATTCCTTTTCCTGAATGAAAATATAACCAGAATTTTTAAGCCTCAGTTTAATTTCTATTTCTGATAATTTGCATTTAAAAACAATTCTTCTGTTTAAAACAATGGTGCCATCAGGAATGGCGTCATCACATTTGCATATCACCCCCCAAATGATTTTATGAATAAGCTACTGCTTGTATATAATAGAATGAATAATGGGTGCTCCCGAAGTATGCGAACCAAGATGGCGGACATCGGAACGTAACATGGGTAACAGGTTAGGGTTAGGCGATAATTTTTTTCCAATTTTCCTTATTTTAGTCCTATTATCAGTTCGAAGACTAGCCAAGAGTCTCCCGTAGTATTTATACCTAAAATTATGGCCTAACTCTAACCTAGTACACATATTACATTCCGATGTCCGCCATCTTGGTTCGCATACTTCGGGAGCCCCGAATAATGAACAACTTATTTAAAATTTATTTGTAGTTTCTACGTCGGCTTGAAAAATCCCCATTCATTCTAAATGGCGTTGACTTTTATTTCACCACAAACAAACATTTCGTTACATTGTAAATTATACATACGTTTAAAAACCGATATCTTCAACTAAACTTGGTCGCTAGATGTAGTACGTCATTTAGTCGAAATTCATCTAACCCCCATGTTTTTCCGTGTATTACGGATACATAAAATCAATTATGACTACAAGGACAGGCTTAGTGTTAGATTTAGTTTGACAGCCTTAAATTTACCCAAAACGACTTGAACTATCGACGGAATTTGGTGTCCAATAACAGAAAGTGCACTGTTAGAAATCATGTACATTTTTTATGAATTTACAATGTCTTCAGATAATTTATATTATTTACTATTTATTCTGGAATCCAATTTGAATCCAAATTTTAAAATACAGTTATGCATTTTATTATTTCATCCATGGGTATTAAAAATATTCTGTTTAGGTATTCTCGAATGTTTCATAAATTGTTTTTCTTCAAGAACGTAAACAAGAAGTAGCATCAATTTAGATTCATAAAACTGTTAAAAGCAGTAAATACCCTCTAATGCAAATGGATTGACCAATATAAATTAATTTGAATGCGTTGTTCGCCAGAGAAACTTTGTTACTATATTTTTGGCATTTTCAAATTATTTGTATTTGTATTAAAAACTCGCCCAAATCAGGGTCAGAAGAATTCAAACAAAGTGATCAAACCTCGTTTGCTGGGGTGATGTCAAAAATAACCACCGACGTTCTAAAAGCTGCAGTTCAGTCTGAGGTTAAATGGTGTTGAGTTCGTCTCAACGCATGCCAAACAAAAACAGAATATTCATAGAATAGTCACGATATTATGCAAATAAATAGACGAGTCCAGTAAAAGGCAAAAGAAATATTACTACGACAACGTGCTACAACTTATTACACGTTGATCACAATCATCGATCTGATTGATTAATCATTATTAAACATGATGCTGTGGTATGGTGAGTGAGAGGCAAAACAATATTTTAAAACAACTACAACAAAAAATAACAATAGCATAGGCTCTTTCTATTAGCATGGTTATTTAAATTCAGAGTGAGGCAGCAGCAGAGCGCATGGCCAACTGTATATATCACGGATGTGAAAACCAGTACTTTATAGTTTAACTCATGCCTAATTTCGTAAATATTCTTACCCGTATATTATTACTACATATGTATGATAACAACAGTTCCTGGATAGTCGATGCACCGTATTGATGATTTTGACTAAAAGGTGTTCTAGCAATAAAATAAAATCTGATTTTATGACAGGTTCTTTGACATGCGTCTGTTATTCCAAATTGTAATTTTGATATACGTTTTTGAAGACTCAATATGTTCATTTGCAATACAAAACATAAATGCAAAGAACCGACAAGAAAATGCGATAACAAGAAATGTGGCAACTGTAGCAAATATTGAAGATGACGATACGATAATTCGAACGCAATCGACGCCTATTGTTCAGTCGACAAACAACGAAAACAGAGCTAATAAAACGACAAATCCATCTTGGAATTCAACTTGTTTGAATGATAGATTTCGCCGTGGAAGAGAATCAATTTTAAATTATCTCCTCCGACTTCAATTGTGTGATCTTTTAGATGGCGGTCAAAGGTTACCAAACGCTTGTGACACAAAGAAAGAAGCTGTTACAGAATATTACAACGTTGCTTATTTAAAGTTTTGTCATATATTTGTTTATGAAAACGTATGCGCGAAAGAAATAAAAAACTGGAGAAATGTAGATCCATTTTTGAAAGAAAATATAAACATACGTTCCGAGGGATCTGGATTAGACTCAATATCTTTACAAAATTCTGGCAACGCTGCGTCTCTGGAGAGACGAGTTACCAAATTTTTCCATGGTCAGGACTTGGGATTGATAAATCAAGCATGTAAAAGTATCGAAGACTACATGGAGACGTTGAGTCGACATGAAGTGTATAAAAACACTGAAAAAAGTTTTGAATTCAATCTGAAAGCATCGGCGTACTCGGAAAAATATTTTGAAGAGGGTGTCAAAAAAGACAATGTCACCGTTCCTGTCGTTCTATTCGCTGAATGGTATTTCCCGATTATTCCATTTTGTGAAGCGTTTACGTGCGGAATATCTTATGAAAAATATTTGGAGGAACCTATGACGGTTTACAACTGTATGCCGAAATATTGCAGACCGATGGTAATATTCAGCATTGTTTTTGATGCTATTCTCGCTGTTTTGATAATCCTTGCAAACAGCTTGGTGTTAGGCGTTGCTGCACGTACAAAAATCATGCGAAACATTCCAGGATACTTTAAAATATCACTTGCATTGGCAGATATCGTCGTCGGAGTCTTCGTTTTGCCTACATGTATATTTACAACGTATACTATGTACATCGCCCCCTTGCCTTTCCGCTACCCAGGACAACGTCCTAGTCTCAGCGACTATATGGTTCGGCCTCTGATAAACTTTGTGGGTTTTTTCGTCGTTCTATCGTTCGCTGTGTCCATATATACAATGGCTGTTGCGAGCATTGACAGATATCTGGCAATAACAAAGCCTTTTCAGTACAGGTAATGCAACCTTGTTTGCTATGTAATATTTTTCATATAATTTAGGGTTCATTTTTTTTCTGATAGCTCTAGGTGAACTCAAACGAACTTCGTACAAAATGCATCTAATTTTTCAGCGGTGTCTGAATTGTAAGACCTAACATCATTGGAGCAAAGACAATAGATCGATGTGGTGCTTAACTAAAAACCACCTAACTGATAAAATTCACTTACGTTGGAGTGATTTCCCATTCATTTGTGTTTGTATGGAACAAGTTTGCATATAGGCTACTCACTCAAAAGCGAAAAAGCCTTACAGTAAAAAAATGCCACGTTCAAAACGCCACTGCAAATTGTAAAAACAACAAGTAATCAGACCAGTTTACCACTCAGTTCAAATAATATAATTATAAAATACTTAAAATGAACGTTTTTCAACTTTTATTTTTCAGGCAAGGCGCCTATCTGACCAAAAAACGTTGTGCACTCGCCTTTGCTCTTATTTGGTTTATCGGAATCCTTGTGGCAGTATATCCTTTCTTTACGAACGAACCATACAGTGTATCAGCATTCAATCTCATTCTCTCTGCTGGGATCACATCCTCCATTGTATACGCCATAGCATTACTCGTCCCACTATTGGCGGTATGGTTTTTGAATGGAGCTATGTTGAGGCAAGTTTGCGCTGATGGGGAAAAGAGACGAAGCATCAGGGCTACATCTGTTATAGAGAATTCTGCCAGCCCCCAACATTCATTAAAAAAGAGACAAAGTTCAAGTTCAAACTCTCATATAGAAAACGAAATTGACAGCACAAATGAAAAAGCAACAGACTCTCCTGTTACAACAATTACGGATTGTAATATGGGAATTGAGACTTCGCAAATTGAAAAAAGAACTGTGACGAGGTAAGGATTTATTTATTTTTCATTATTTCTTAAAAACAAGCTTAGAATTATTCCAAAATATCTCGCAAAATAATATCGCTCTGTAGCTATCACTGTTTGCCTATAATAACAGCAGCAGACATCAGAGTCTTATAGAGTCAAGGGCATAGATGTTTCCAAAACTTTGCAAAAAGAAGGTTAAAATAAACGTGCAGATATTAACATCAATAAGTTTCATTAATATATATTTTACTCATTTGTCGTCCCAAACATTCTTGTAGCTCCAACTCTAATAGATCACGTAGACGTACACACGTCCACTGACTCACTCGTTTATTGTTCCTAAATTCTTGAGAACCCGCTTCTGATTTTATCACATGCAATGCGTCTCGTCATAGCAGACCTGGCGAGTTCGTAATTGCATGTAGTCTGCTTCGAGGTCCTCCAACCAGTATTTAAATGTCACACATCCTGAAACATAGAAATAGAAACCGGCCTCAGAGACAAAATTTTATTCAAAATTGCAAATCTCCTTATTAATCAGTTTCGTATACAGTACTGACTCCGCTTCGCCTTTTTTACATGATTTGAAATATTCAAATTTACGCTAAGATTTGACCCAAACAAGTAATAATTTCTAGAAGACAATTAGCAAATGTTTATTACTCTGAGTAGTAAGTTGAATTGTTGTGATATTACGTGCTGGTTCCAGAGAAACTGAATAACGTCAATTCCCAATGCAAATGCCAAACAGACAGTCTTCTTACGCGCGAGCGCATTATAGTTTTCTGAAACTTTCTTCATTCAATTGTCGTCATCCAAATTTGTTTCATTATTAGGTAGAAATAATATGACTTCCCGATATAAATTTATAGTTTGCTTTATTGCTGTGGCTATGGGAAGTTTAGAATTAACAAGATTCAAAAAGCTGGTTACTTACAAAACACCGGATCTCAATTCAATTTCCGTTACCTGCTGAATATATTCGTTTTATCGTTCAGCTTAAATTGCTTTACTTTGAATATTATTTAAATGAATAATGTAAAAGCAAAATAAGAGAGCACTGCTCAAATACACATATAGGGACGAAGTTCACTTATCGGTACCGATACGATATGGCCAAGAAAATCAAAGAAGCGGACACATGAGACGCTGAGGCTGAAGGATATTGTCTCTTTTTCGCGCTTACCCCTTCCCCATCTTTTTACCTTTTTAAATTGAGGAAGGCTGGGTTTGAAACGAGTTTTAAAAACTTCTGTTCTCAGATATATGTTTTCCGTTATAGCTCTGTTTGGAAATCACCATTGCGCCCGAGAACCAAAGGTGCTGTTCTTGTTCATCCAGCATCTAACATTAGTAGAAACTAGAAACATATTATTAAATTGTATTCATAAATTTCAGGAACGTGTCAACATCCAGCGTTGGTTACCATAAAAACGAGAAGCGTACGAGTGGAACTGTGGGAGACGGAATTATTGAACGCATGAAGCGAAGTAGAGGCAGGAGGAACATTTCTTCAGCATTTCAAAAAAAGCCAATTTCGAGACAATCCAGTATTCCTAATTCAGCTGCGAGTGTAGAAAGAAGACTTGCTCGAACTCTATCAATAATGATTGGAGCTTTCACCTTGGCGTTAATGCCAAACATAGCAACGATGATTGCTAACGCCGTCGCATCTGGGTAAGCAAAAATTGATGAATATTGATATTGAATTGATGATATATGAGCAATGCTTAAACATATGGACACCCACAACAAACGTCATCACACAAAACTTCGAAGTGAAAAACGAGCCGACAGATAAATAAATAGCCACAACAACATGCTTTAACCACTGAAATTTCAAAACAATTAGTCCCGTAGGCTAGTTGAAGAGAAAAACGATTATTTTCACAGCAACAACATATCAACAAAACGATCCATAGGTCCATTTCGTGTCCAAAAATCACACTAATTACGTCACTTATCACTAGGGCTGGGCATTTCGAATCGAATATTCGAATCGAATCGAATAGTAAATTATTCGAATCGGTTGAGAGCAAATTTTCGAATCGCCGCCATCTTGTTTTACTCTTTCCGCCAATGGTCGAGGAAAATTTCTCAATTTTTTTTCATTGAAGCCATATTTTTTCAACACAATTCTGACATACGACTCTTTTCTGTATTGAGGTATTAATGAAAACGTGTTTTTTCTTATTGTCAGTGATGTATCCTATGTTTCCAGTAATTTATGTGTCTGGAGGACTTAAAATAATTAGAAAGTTACATATAATTTCATACCTTTCAAGTATTCGAGATTCGATTCGATTCGAAAAAATTATTCGATTCGATTCTGAAATCATCAGGTATTCGAAAATGCCCAGCCCTACTTATCACACGTCTACGCGCGGTAAATAGAAACTCTCAGGACTAGATTGCAGCTAAGAAGGAACAGTTAATTTTGATTTACTTTATTATTTTGCAACATGTCGCAAGAAGTAATTGATAAATTACAGGTTTAAACGTTGAAGTAGGATGCTAAAAAGTGCAATAATAAGGTTTAATGACTTTGTAACGTATTATTTCATGCTTCGTAGTAAGAGCATCTTTTTGCCATTACTTGGCATTATAAATCCTAAGAATTTTTTTCAACAATTTTATGCTCTATGACGTTTTTATAATGTTTACATTGCAAAATGATTGCGGCGTCATGAGGATGTTGCGTTAAGCTTAATTCCACTGTACGGTACACAATGTCATGCAGTACCGTACAATTTGACAACGGACAATTTTCTCCAAAAATTTCAATCGTTTAAAGAAATATACTGTTTTCGGAGAATTATTATTGCGGCCATGTATTCTTCGGTATCAAACAACCTACGGTAATGGTTGCCTGTCAATGTTTATGGGTGATAATGATTAATTTCAACTTCTTAACGAAGGCTTATGTGCTCTTTCGTCGCGGCTTAATATATTATCTGATTTATTTACCAAATGCTCGGCCTTCGGCTATTTGGATACATCGATGCCGTCAAGTGAAGTGATACATCAGCGTTTTAACTAATTGTAGTTTTGTAAAATTTGGTTTTGTAATAAAATTAAAAACGTTTCATACCAGCTACACAACTTGTGTACTGACCATCAATGGCTATTCAAGTGCAAGAAATGTTCTTTTATTACTGTCCAACACAGTACTTGCCAGTTGAATATGTAACACCCGATATTTTTATATTTTTTCAGTAACAATTCTCCCAAAACATCAGTTCGGTTGGCGTCAACTTTATATGTTGCTTCGCGTATTCTGCTTTCAAACTCATTTTGGAACTGTATTATATACAGTATACGAAATCGTCACTTTCGACGAGCGATGTGGGCAATATTTCTGTGTAAAAAAGAAAAAATTGACCGGAAATTACGTCAAAGTTTGTCAATGTCTCAATGGAAGCGGAGAAGTGCAATGGGGTCATCTAGCGGATCAAATTCACACGATAAACTCCCAGTATCAAAGACTAGTAGCACGGCTTCTAGCTATCAAGGTGGTGATTACAGACGAAGTACTATGATGTGGTCGCTCGCGTCTAATTCTCCTTGTCCCTCTAGAAAAGGAAGCTCTGACGTATTAGGACAACGGCCAGCAGTATCTCGAAGTATTTCTACTGGTACAGAAGCTAAAAAACCAACAGGCATTTTGAAAAATCCAATCACAAGAAGTGAGTCTGCACCAGAATCAGTACAATGCACAAAGTTAATCATTCCTACTGTCACTGTTGACACGATACAAGAACATGCTGATATTGCGGAAAGATGATAAATTAATCGCGTGAACGTATGCTCGTGCGAAACGGTCCGAACGGGATAGTATGGTGGCAGGCAATGAAGGTCAGAGTTTTGAAGATCAAGTCAATTGTAATTCAGATGTCAACCAAACCGGAGTGAGTATTTCAAGATAGATGTTTATCATTTCAAACATTCCGCAATAGCCTACCTCGCCGACTACCAGACTACTGGTGTGGACTGCATATCCACGGAACTTTTGTCTTGTCAAAAACAAAGTACTGGTGTTTGTCCTATGGTAGTTGTTTAGACGATTTGGTCCATACCGTGAATACCTTATTCAAAGTAGTCATAATTAAATACATAATCTACCTGAATTCAGCTTAAATATCGATGCACACCCACTGCATATAGCCGTTGTACAAACCCATAGCCATGCTAAGTTGAAAGCCATATGAAAAGGAGATTGCCTTTTATCGGACACGAAATGGCCCAATGGATAGTTTTATAATTGTGTTTTTGTTGTGAAAAAAATGATTTTCTCTTCTACGGCAGGAACAATTGCTTTAAAATTCCCAGTGCTGTCGCTAGAAGGGCATTGCTTTTATTTATTTCACAAATATCTGTTGGTTCTATGAGATTCGTTTTTTACTTCGAAGTTTTGCATGATGGCGTCATAAAGATTAAAGATTGCGTGCCGTGGTTCCGTGATCACATCTCACATTTGAGCATTGCTCTCTTGTTTTTGTACGATATCAGATTAATTTGAAATTGGTGCTTTTTATATAAAAATCTATGTAATATAATGCTTGATACCTCGCAATGTGACAATGTGGCGAAATTGCGACCAAGAATTGTAGATATAGTAAAAGTTGTATATTTCTATGTTAGCGTCAACAATAAAGTGCGATATCGTCTTTTTGTGTTTTTGTATCAGGATTACAGATTTATGACCCAGTTGGAATATGTGCAAACACAACTCTGCAAGCGAGAGCATTGGCTATTGGAGTAAGGAAAGCTTTTGCCCTTAGTCTCCTATTTAGCCCGATAAAGTCAATACATTTCCTGGGTTATGTCTGCATTTTTCCAGCATTGAAAAACTGGTAATGGTTTTTGCAAAACAATACTCTCCATAGCCATTTATAGCACGCTTTTAATGCATTAAATGATGGTTTTATCTCTGCTTGAGTTATATCATTAAAATACTGCACCAATACTGAGCGAGTAATATGTCAACAAACATTCATTCAAATATACTGAAACAGACTGAAAATGTTTTCAATGAACAAATATAAGAGAATATACGAGATATTAAAATAGCCAAGGAACCAATACAAAATATAGAAGCATGATCAGTGAGGACGTATGGATATTTTTACATATAAGTAACTCTTCTATCAGGCATTGTATGAAAATTTCTGTCAATAAAAGACACTTCAGTCACAAATTCATCACTGTCAGCAGGTCTTGTCGAATCTGAAAACAATTGAAATTCGTTAATATGATTACGTCAATATATACACATAAAAAACGTGAAATGGATGTGGAACTCACTTCTAGTGCCACTGAATTCATTTCTGCCTGAATTGCCGGAATTCGTGTTTTGTCGATCTGCACTGTTGTTGAATTCTACAATAGCCACATCACTAAAATGAAAATAACAAATTATACGCTCAGATTTTAAAAGAATTTTCGAAAAGCAATCGCCCTAAAATGTTTGAAGGCCAAAATGTCTTGTGAAACGTAATTTCCGTTTGCCTATAGAGAACAAACACTGTTTAATGCATTTTTATATCACATAAAATTTTTACACGAGCTATTATTTTATTTGGACCTGCTAATAATGTACCGTTTTTCCATCGATGAGCCTGCGAACAAAAGTGCGGTAGTAATGTACGCCATCACTGAGGCTCCCCAACCGGTGAAAATCCCGACGGAAAATTCTGATTGCATTTCGTTTTTCCATACAGCATTCAACACATCGATTGCATACCAAGTCACTGCGGCAAGGCAGCATGTGCCTACCAAAGAATTATTTAATTCTAATTTTACATAGAGAGTGTAATTATAAGTAGAATAATAAATATTAGAATATTAAATAAAATACTGTGTTAAAAATATCGGTTGGGCAATATATATGTAGGTTTTATCTGACGTCGGTCGGTCAATAGCTTGTTCTTCAAAAAATGTCAATGCTGAAGATGCTAAATAAACATTTTAATCTATAAAATTTGTCTACAAACCTGATAGAAGCCAGAGTGTAGCAGAAATTCTGGCAAATTTAGCCTTTTTTTCTACATCCAGATTCATCAGCAAAACGCACTTCATTGCCAAGCAATGCAAGAACAATGCCGCACCACTCAACAAACAAGATCCAATCATCAGTCCTCTGCATACATTTCTCTGAGCTAGGCAGCAAAATGGGTTTAATGTCATTTGGAAGAAAACTTTATGCTAACTTTTATGCCAGCAGAATTGCTCCAATCAGAAAATATCATATTTGAACACCCTGATTCGATACAGTTGATGGTTTGCTATCGGAAAACTTTTAAAACAATCATAAATAATCCACAATTCAGTAATATTATTGCATAAGCCATCAAAATTATAAAAACTTGCAATTCATTTTTTTTTAATTCAATTTTCTATTTCTGATTCATTACCGCCGTGGGGTCCAAGAAGCGAACCCGAAAGCCATTTTCCACAAAGTCCGGTTGAACTACAAAACGTCCACAATCCATAACAATTTTCATATGGAGATATCTAAAATAAAAATGAAAAACAGGTTCACCCTATAAAGAATAACAAAGTTTCGTCGATTTTTTATTTATTGCCCCATATTTTTACCGTTACCTCATATCTTTATAAATAATTTCCCTGTCGAGATCATAAGATCCTACTCGGAAGCGAACAAATCTCGACTGAGCTTCATTTTTTATCTTTAGTTATCTTTAGGAACTACTGAAGGAAATACTTACTGAAGCTTCGGCGTATAGAACATACCAACACGGGGTCAGTGTTACGTAAATAAAACAAATCAGACTGGACAAACCGGTCAAAAATGCTAAAATAATCAAACTGCTGCCAGGACCAAAGTCTGTAAACTGCGTCATGGTCGTGAATATTTAAAGCTGAATCCTTACTCTCGCTCAAATTTCAAATGAATGAATTCCTTGTGTCAAATGAAGTCTTCGAAACCGTTCGTAATTCTTTCCGATATTTTATGAACTTGACATACTGTTGTCAATGACGCCAATCACCTCCTCAATTACCGAACGTGTGATAGTTGTAAATCATATTCATAATAGCTGAGTCAGCGCGAAAAAGACAGCAAGACAGTTTGTAATTCGAAGCCAGTTTCGCGCCTGGTCAACGTGACTATTACCAATTTCAGGGTAACAGATTTTAAAATTTCAAGCTAGGAATGGTATATTAGCCAAATAGCAGTGGATAATTACAAATTGATGGCAATGCGTACAAGTTATTGCTTGCCGACAAGAGAGGCCTGCTCTATAGCTGGATTGAGGTAAGCTCCATAATATAACGTATTACCAAGTTTTCAGCAATCATTGAATCGGATTGTTACATCCCTGTTAATCCTAGCACAAATGATATTATATTGAGCATATAAAGTAAACGCGTATCGATCATTATAACTTTAGACTGTGACAACTCGCGAATTGTCTATGAAAAATAAATCAATTTACGACTTCAAACATTACCGTGAAATTTATTTTCATAATGGTGCAATAAAAATATTGAAACAAATAATAAAATTAAATGAAAAAACGATAAGAATCAATTAAAACAAGAAACGACGTCTTGTTGTGGAAGGCTGCATCCAACGTTGCACTGTTGCTGATGGCTGTGGCGAAAAACACCGAGGTCCAGCAAGCCAAATTTCAACCCAACAGCATCTGAATCGTGTGCACTGCTCTCTGCAATATTAGTAATAGTTTGACATTAGAGTTTCTGTCACGGTGTTATTATAATATATCGCGTAGACAAAGGTTACTATCTTGGCTGAAAGCAATGAATACTCAATTTGTAATAAAGGGCATCGGTATCGCAGACAGGCTTCGCTCGACACGCATCGATATTATTATAATGTGCTTTTTCAGGCCAAATCATTTCTCAATTTTTTAATCAGTCAGTCCCAGGGGTTTCTAATAAAATAACTGTTAGTACTTATTACACTCTTGGTGAGATAATATTCAATACAAAATACCGTAAATTGGTTTTTAATCGTCTTTCATGTATTATGCCTGCTTGTTTCTGGACAAACCGGCAACAATGAAACAAAATTCGTTTATACCTTATATCCATACTACTGCTGCAAAAAGAAATAGTAACTTACTGAGTTGTTCTGACTCCTCCACACCTCTTTCGTTGAAACGGATCCACACGATCGCAGTTTTGCTGAGAAACGCTATTCAGTCCTACGCTGAAACCGGTGAATGCGATGACTCTGACTGTAGAAAATATTAGTTATTGGTCAACGTAGCCGTAGAGAATAAGTTCATAATGTAACGTAAACAAACCTTTTCGCATGAAACACTTTGGCGCACCATACGAATCTTCATCATAGCAACAACCGTTACCGGAACACATGCTTCTTGACACATAAATATGTGAAGTAAAACACGGCATACGATCTTCTGGTAGTACTTGGCATTCTGGATGAGGACACCTGCCTAAAGATATATATATATATATACAAGGTGATGGAAGAAGAAACAAAACTAAGGATTTTATAGAGATGAATGTAAACTAACCCTGTGGGAGACTCAACGGATAAAAGCACCATATCGTGTCGTAAACTGAGTTATCAAAACAACAACCAAGAGCTAAGCAGTTGTCTCTCTTGTTTTCCTTTGGTGAACAATCTCTTCTCTGATCTCGCCGCAGTGCGCATTGGTAGTCTGAACTTACTGAAAGCGAAATTTTACAAAATTACTTTATATGAATATATCCTGTTATTTTCATTTTATTTTGAATGTAATCTTACCTGACGATAAATATGCGGCACAGTATCCAACGTAACAACAGAAAATTATAGCTGCGGTAGAGCTGGCTATCATGATGGTTATATTAGAGACCCTTCAGAAATAAAAATCAAATTTATATCCACAACATCAATCTCATAATCTTACCTTACGATGTTAGGTTTTGTACTTTGCTTGTGAACTATATTTATATTTAACATATTGAAATACATAAGAAATACCGCCACCTGGATACTTTGGACATATTTTGTAGTATGCTAATGACGAAAAATAACATTCATCATTATTTTAAATTTCCAGTATTTGAAAAGGAATCCAAAAAATAAAACTATATATGTAGATCACTCTTGAGCCAAAATATAGCTCGGCTTCTATAATCTGTGATCGCACGCCTCAATTACCACAACAGAAATCTTACCACAGGCTCTAACACGTACAGCCTCTCATCTCATCTCTGATTTCGTTGTCATCAAATGAGTCGATAATGGAGATTATATTGTAGCCACTCATATTTCACCCCTAGGCATTATATCGAAAGTAGGGAAAACTATAATCCCTTTGTCATTGTTTTATTGCGTGAAGCATCGTGAATATGTCGTGGAGTGTTTATGTGACAAATTAGTTTAAATGTAAAATTAATCGGATTGAAATTAAACAATATAAATATTATTTCCTAAATCTCGAAATCAATTTGTTGTGATACAAAGCATTTATACGGTTGTTTACGTTGTCCAACAACTGGTTCCGAAATGTCGATGTATTGGTAAATATTGTAATACAAAATCCTGAATATATACATATTAAATTACAGCTTCGCGATACATATATGTACAAATAAATAAGATGTACTCCCGAAAGATAATTTTAATTATCGCAAAGACTAGTTTGACTGTAGGCTCCTTCCTAAAACATGGAGAAGTAACGTCTCTGTCTTAAGTTTGACTGTACTGGCAAAGCTCCGGATTCGAATGCGAAATTCGAAAATATTAAGTTCTAGTAAGCTGTGATGAATATAATAATTGCATGGGACACATTAATATTAATTATTGATTTTAAAACAGTATTCACATGTAAACCTTTTTCATTAATGCTTCCCCATTAATATAAATTTATTTTTTATTTACTCAATGCCGAATAATTTTATCTTTGCTAATTTTGAAGCAAGGAGCAAACCCTTCCAGATGTAGAAATATCATCATCACAGTGTACACCATCTATCCTGCCTGGCGGATCCTACGGAGTGTGATTTGATAATTTATTCTCTAGAATTTAAGACGGTGAATGCACGTGCCAAAAACGCTCCCCAAGCACAATTCTAGATATTTTGAGATTCCAAAAACATGATCACAATAAACACCAAAGGAAATACATTAAATACCAATCGGGTTTTTCGTCAGTTGCACTGTAGCTTTAGCTATGGAGCGCCACTGCTATGCATATAAATATATATATATATTAAACCGAGATTGAATATAAATTCCACATGCCACCATCAATAGAATATACTGTGAAGGAGTTGCATTGTTATGCATAGTTCATGTGCTTTCCCATTTGCAATATATATATATATATATATATATGATATCCTATCAGGCAATCTACCCAAGCATGCAGTGCTTTTGGATTCCACATGCCAACGAAATTTGGGGTTTTCTTGTTGTAAAACAAATGAAAAGACACTTGCAGATTCTCATCTTTTTTACCAAATCTTACAATACATATTTTACACCACCTGTCAAAAAGTTAAGTTTTAGCAATATTTTATAAAAAGTATTTACACCAATAGAATAAACCAGAAATACTGTGTTTATCATTAAAATACATGTATATATATAAATATATAGACTAACAAACGATTGTGCACCGAGATATAGCAAGCGCTGGTGCTTAAATGTACAGAACATATTTTTGATACACATATTTTCATGCACGTAAAATTGTTTTCCATGCAACAAAATGTGATTATGATGGCTCACTTGAAAAAATGTGGCTTCAGGAATACCTTTTTATGCATTATATTTGAGGCTGATCATAATAACACTCGAACACGGAAATTTAGATTATACCATTACCTTACTTGCTCGATTGTTTTACGATATCACTCCGGTAATCGTATTGAAAATAATAAATATTATTGCAATATTTTATTAGCATTTAGTTCAATTCAAAATGCCGCAAACATATATATTATAAATATTAACTTGGAATGACTAAATTCATTGAAATAATTATTTAAGGGCACAACTAATCATTACAATAATGGAAAAAAATGCAATAATCGTGATAGCACCTAAAAATGGGAAAATATCAAAGCATCCTCTGTAGACGGACAATCCCAATCCTCCACATGCAATTAATGCAATAATAACAAATAGTCCGACGATTGAATATTGCTGTTTTTCTTAAAATAAAAACGTTTGATTAGAAAATGATGTTTCCGTACATCAAATAGTCCTCTCTGTTTTCCACATCTGAATTTTGGTGATCACGTGGCTGGATATATACAATTTTATGAACAAGTATGCTTTTCAAAACTCAATAGTATTTATTCTGACTTAGTTTGGGAAAGCCCGAGTTTCATCTCCGCGCTGGTTAAAAACTTAACAAGCAATATACGTACTTGAAATGATAATATCATTGCTCCTGGCTGGGACGCTCGATTGCTGCCGTAAATATTGACTTGAAGGCAGTGGCGGCAAGACATGATTTTTGGTCAAAGTATCGTGTGTTGCTTTACTGTTAGTAACAGATCCAGTTGAACGCTGAAAATTCAAAATTCATCATTAATTAATATTAAAAGGTAAGTAACCAGAATCGTATAAACATATTCTTGGTTTAATTTTTTATTTATTAAATCCAGATGAAATCATATTAGGCAGAAAGAGCAACGTTTTTTGCAAATGAGTCTTATTTGTGCTGGAAAACTTTTGAATAGGCAAGTTTAGTGACGCCATACCTGACAACATCATTGACAATTGCAAGCGAATTGTTTCCGATACGCGAAAATACAAAATATTTACAAAGTTAGAAGTCTAAAAAGTTTTGGTGCTCCTGAAGTATGCGCGCCAAGATGTCGCATAACCTGAACCCTAAACTGGTACACAACCTGAGTTCAGGTTGTGCGCCATCTTGGTGCGCATACTTCAGGAGGTCCAAAGTTTTAATAAATTTTAATGTATTGTAACATTACCAATAACTCTAAACAACAAATAATTGTACGTTTCATTTGAAATGTTATATAAAATTGACGCCCTTGTTACTGTGAGGCCTCAAACCCGTAAAGTTTGATTATACTTTATGAGTTCAAATAACTGAATAGCTAGCAAAGTAAAGTTTATTATATATATAAGAAGTTATTATCTTTTCAATCTTAATTACCAAACGACTTCTTGGGAATTTAACAAATGGAAACTATTATCAAAAATAATTTAAATCAATATACATTGCATACATTTTTCCACGCGTTCGTATTGTGAAAAATATTTTCAGCTTCGTGATGGAATAAAGTGCCGTAGTCCTCTGTCTGCCTGTTATCATTCGTAGGCTCAAGTGTATAATCCGATGACATAGGTTGAGAATCTATGGTATTTTCTACCGTTGTCTCGAGTGTGTATGAATTCGAAAAACTCCTGACTTTTGAAGATAATTCGTTATGATAAGCCATGCTGAGGCGTTACAGTTTCTTTCTAACAATTATCATGCAATAGAGATGGTTATCCAGCCAAAAAGATTCTGTGAACACACGAAGTCCACGAAATCATATCTCAATCTTCCATAAAGACTACACATAGATTCAGCTAAATTCTATATAAGAATAAGATGAAGGTTACATTTATTTGACGAAAGTAGAAATCAAAACTAGAAGTAGTGGGAAAATTCAACTTTTAAGTTGATCACGATTAGAAATGATCAAGAATGCAAAGACAAACAAATTATTTATCCGCTCATATAACGCTTGCACATGGCCTGTTTAATCTGTACGTAATCAATAATCCATTGCAACCAATATTCCTTTACGCAAATGGTCATACAGATAGCGGCATCATACAACAACCCCTATTCTGAACTATTACTACTGCCACATCACAAAATCGTAACACATCAAAATATACACATGAAAGAAAATGGTATACCATTTATCTCTCTCATTTTATGGTCTGTAGCGTTCAATGTACACACTGCTACAAATTTTGTAGTAACACATAGCTAATGCTCCAAATATGATGCAACAAATTCATATGTAATTAAAAGGCTTATAATCTTTCCAATGTTTGCGTGGAGATACAATTTCCTATGAGAGCATTTCAGCATTACGTGAAGTATATATATTAATTTAATTACTTTCAGATTCTAATAGATTGTTCCGTTTTATTTCAATGTGTGGACGCCCTTGTGATTTTCAAAACATTCGAATGAAATGCCTATGACGACCAATCAAGCAGAAAGGAAGGTAATTGAAATTACCCAACCGCTCAACTGTTCAAGTGCAAATCGCATGATAAGGTAAACACAAATAAAAAAAATTTTACCTACTGGGATGTACTATCCAAGAGCGATTATCATGTGGCACTATTGTAAAAAAGTATATAGGCACTCAATACGCAAAGTCTCGGTATCGAATTTATCCCACCTGGCGATCAGCAGTGAAACCGTAATATAATATCACAAACACTAACGCATTTGTTCTGGGTCGATTAAAACACTAAGCATCTTCATTCGCTTTTGGTTGTAGGGTATGCACCAAAAGCACATTTTGTAGGCTCGTACGCTTACTAACAGTATAAATTCACTAATCTGGAAAACGTTGAAGATTTCAGCAAGTAGACTCTCGATAGGCGTAGTAATTTCGTTATTCATGTCTCGGACGGGATTGCACTTCTCCTCGCACAATAATATGTTCCCGAAACTCAAAGCGACAGGTACGAATCAACTTTTCAAAGCATTTTATTCAAGAAAGAAAACGAAACAGATAGACTTCAAAATAATTCTGATTACAAAGAAATAAGATAAAAAAGTGCGTAGAAAATATAATAAAAAGTAAAATGAAGAGAACACTGAATTACGGTAAAACGTCTTTCAAAGTCGTTTTCTGTCTTGAATTCAAATAGTCCGGAAATTTTATAAAATATTTCACGATTAAGTTACCACGCTTGTGTGGTTGTTTTGGAATCGGTAGACCCTCATCTGGGATGATTTTAACTGTATCTGGCTTCACGACGTCATGGCAGTTAAGCGTGACGTAACGGCCTTCCAGTGTTGGTATTCGCAATGTTGATCCGGTCAATGCCTGAAAAGGAGTAAAAAAATAAGGTCAATAAAACTCGAAAACAAATAATTATATGAATTAGCCAACAAAAATTCGCATTAATGTTCTGTAAATGAATGTTAAAAGGTCGAATATATTTAACGCAGCGAATTTGACGAAAAGTGGGCTCAATATTTCGATAGTTTTACAAAAGTGTTGTTATTTACAATTATGTACACTTACTTCTTTTAAAGTTATCCTTTTGTGGTAAATAATGTTGCTCCCTTCTCTGGTGAAAGTAGAATGAGGTAAATCTTTCAATGTAAAAACAATATCGGATGCAACAGCACCAGGTCGCTCGTCGCCTTCTTTCGGGAACGTTATTTTTGTCCCTTCCTGTAATAATTGAAAACAGTTATAATTAAATCATTTCGTATTTAAGGGTAGTGCACGACATATACAAATTGAGCGCTTGAAAATAGTTTTTCCAACAGCTTATAATTGAAAATGCTTTACACACATGATTAGCTTTTTGGTGCAAAATAATTAAATAATGGCCTGATTTAGTTTTAATTTTTTGAAAAGTACGAACCTTCCATCCTTTTTTAATGTCTATTGTGAGAAGTTTCTCGTCTAGTCTCGTCGAAGCACCGTCTGGATTGAGTCTTTTCCTCGTTATTTTTATTTTCTTTGTGCACCCTTTCAATATGTCTTCAAGAGATACTTTTAGATCACGCATGATCGGTGGGTCTTGTGGTTTTGGACGATTAAATGAAGACTGTCCTCCGTGCCCCATATTTGTGAAAACCTGAGTATTTCCACCACCGCCAAATCTACTTCCAAACCCAGGTCCAAAGTGCCCGCCGATGTCTTCGCCTTCCATAAAGATATCTGAAAATCCACCGCCGCCTTTTCCAAAGTTAGCAAAGGGATTTGAGCTTCCGAAAAATGCCTCAAATGTTGCTCTTGGGTCGACGTTTGAATAAGTGTAGGTAAATCCGTCGCCTCCACTTCCGCCTCCCATTCCACCATTCAGTCCTTGTTCCCCATGACGATCGTACGTTTCCCTCTTTTTGGAATCGCTCAATACCTCATAAGCTTCAGCAACTTCCTTGAATTTTTCCTCAGCGCCTGGGGATTTATTTTTGTCCGGGTGGTATTTGAGAGCTAATTTTCTATATGCTTCCTTTATTTCATCTTCTGTGGCGGTTTTTGAAACTCCGAGAGTAGCATAAAAGTCTTTTGGTCCTTTAGTCTTCATGTTGCTCATTGACAGATCAGGTAAGATTTATACGAATTGTACTTTAAATACGTACAATAACTACAGCCAAACTAGTCGACACTCTTTCTGAAATGAGAAGCATGGGGCTCGCGTGTTTTGTATAATAAAGAAATAGAAAATTCTCGAATTCTCTCCTATTTTCACAGCAATTCCGGGTCATTCTCGCTTAGACGCCACTTCTCTCGTTTTATGACGTCGATCGACAACAGCTGCCGGTTCATTCATAACCGAACGTCATCACGTTCTAGAAATATCATTAGCCAAAGCGTCGGCATAAGCCTTGGCCACATTACTCAAATGTAGCGGCCCACGAGAGTTCGGGATCCGTGACTCATATTTTTTATTAGCACAATTGAATATGGGCGTCAAAAAATATAATGTTTAGTGTTTACTCTGATGATAGTATGCTGGAAAATTCTGAATATAAATTTACTGAACACAAAGTTTGATATACAGCTTGTACAGATGAGTAACAAAAATAATACGTTTTTATGTCGATTGCATTTAAATATATAAATGATTTTTCATTAAACTGATAATCGTGAAATAGTTCTACGTAAAGGGGCCTCAACTTCTGAATAAATTTGAAGTTCGACGTGTACTACATTTACATAGTGAAAGAGAAGATGATAGAAAAATATTATTCTTGGAAAATTGTGTAGAATATAATTTTTGTATACCTAAAGTATGGCTGGCCTGGAAGAGACCGCTCCGGGCGGCACGTTGTAGCACAGGTTCGGCAACCTTTTGTCGCTCGCGGCCAAAATTAAGGGTTGCAAGTCATTAACGGGCCGCACATATTTTTAGAAAGTTGAAAACCGAACGGTTGATACTTCTTATAATAAAAATCAAGCAGTGATACATCTCTCGAATAGAATATAGATTTATTTCATTCGAATATTTTTAAGCGCCATTGAACCATTGGCATCAACTTTTCTGCGTTATGTTGCCATTTGTTTAATTATAATCAAACTATAGTCTTATTGAACGAGTAATTGCGAATTTTATACTTGTTAGATTATAATATAATTTAGTCTACACGTGTCTCACAATAAATTCTGTTACGTAAGGAATATAATCGTCAAAACAGCTGTTTTGTTACTATAATTCAGTGAAGCGTCGCGGGCCGGATTATATTAATCCGCGGGCCGTAGGTTGCCGACCCCTGTTGTAGCGAATCCAGATACCAACGTCTTTGATGTCTTTAAAGTCAATTCTGTCTGTCAAGTTCAAACATTTCACCCTTACTTGACCTCCAGTTTATTTATTTTCGCGTATAACAACATCTATAATTTGTTTACCCCCAGAATTATTTTTGAAGTTAGGTATGAGGCGCATCATTATTAGAAACTCGCTCTAAGCAGCAGAAAAGTTTGGCACGTCTCTGATTACGACTCAACTGTTTGTTTTAGAAGCCTTTTATAGTAACTCAGACGCCTATTTTATATTCACTTGCTTTTGAAGCAATGGAATTTTCAGTCCATCCCGAATCCCTGGCCACTTTGGATTATACTGCTTCAAGTCCACATTTTCTGCAACGCAATTCCCAACCTTTTTTGTTACATTCTTTTTGATAAGGTAGCCAGGGTGGTCCAAACCCTGTCATACTGATACATTCCGTGCGGCCCAGCACAGAACAATTTTAGCGTATATTTGTATCTAATAGCAGAGCGTATTTGAGTTTTTTTCATAGATATTCCAACTGGGGTTGGAATCCCGAGATTCAAACCCTTTTTTCTAACGCTTTGTGCCTTCATTTTGGTAAAAACAATCCTCTGTTTTCTAGCGTGGACCATGTGACAGTATAGTGACGAAACGTAGAGCCGACCTAAGGCCCCGCAATCCATTTTTTCAGCAAGGTCCCGAAATACCAACTTAGACGGACTTGGTGGTTATTTGACGATGGCACTAAGCTTGCTCATGCTGCAAGATTTTAAATTACTCAAATATAACAATTCGTAATAAAATGATTGTCACAAGAAAAGTGGCGTAAGGAAAACACGGGGGAAACGTATTTACTTGCCCATCACACAGTGTCTAGTTTGATTTCAAGTAATATCTGTCACAAATGAATATAATTTGAAACGACTTCAAACGCGAGATGCGGAAAATACAACGGTAATTTTAGGGAATTAATTTTCAAATAACTGAAGGCTTTATATATCTTCTTTAAAAGCATGCCAGATGCCACCCATGCAACATAATAATGGTCTGATTAAAACGGTAAACTCTCGTTGTTCATTAAATTAAAAGTAAGTAAACTTGCGATATTTCGATCACTTTTTGGTTTTCTCCGACTTGCGGCCCGCGAGACCTCCTCAAACGTTTTTGTGGTCCTTCAACCTAGCAACCTTGAACCACCCTGAGGTAGACTACTGGGTACCGGTAAATTTTCAAACCACAGTTGTGACTTGTATCCTTTAGTATTTCGATTCACGTTGAGACTGGAGGCATGCATCTTTGTTGTCACACTCCTTCAGGATTAGAGCTCACCCGTTATATCGGCCCGATGTTGTGTGTTTGCCGATATAACATATCGGCAGTAAACGGCCTATACATATATATGGGCTATATATAACAGTTAAAAAAATGTTCTAGAAGTTGTTTCATTTACTGTTGGTTGTGATTATTTTTAATGGATAATACACTTATGAATTAAATTACACATGAGGGGGCACCAAAGTCTTCAGTGCTTAGGGCACCAAAGGGGCATAATCCGCCCCTGCCCTTAGCTATGTATAAAAAGTATTTTATTTATTCAATCTTTAATGAATCCTTGAGGGGGCGCATTTTTAAACTTCGTAATGGGCGCACTTTTACGTAGATACGCCAAAAACATTATCGAAGTAATATTATGCGCTGATTAGACTTTACAAAACAAGGTTATGTTCCAAAGCATTTCGTGCCTTCGACTAATAACCACCGCACTCCAAAATTAATAGGTCAAGATGATTCCATCCGATATTTTGCACTCGTGTACTAAAGGTATAAATTAGTAATTTTAAATAGCTTTGTTATCTGAAATTACTCCAGTTCGATTGAGAAACTTACCTATTCCGGAAATAATGCCCCATATTGTCTTCCAGAATCAGCATTTCTGAATGAATAAACGTGTATATGTCGGAACCACCATCTTCAGCACTTTGTGTTCTTAAATGCCCTGGATTTAAATATTTATTCCGGTGGAGAGCAAATACGACGAGAAAGCTTAATCATATGGCGAACCACGGCCGCTAGCCAGACTACCACTTCATTTCGGGTATGGTATTGTTTTGGCCAGACATTTGTTTCAGATGCATGGACCTTGGAGGAGGAAGACGTAACAGACCGTGTGCTACGTTAACCACCCTCCGTCGGCGAGATTATCCCCCACGTACGAACCCTCGCAAGTTATTCACAAGTTCGATGGCGGACGTAATCCTAACGCTTAGCACGATGCGCCACAGCGCCTAGAATACTGGTTAATTATTCTCATCCCACACTTGGACCACAATCCAAACGAGGCGCAGTGTTCCGCCATACCAGTCTATTCATTCTCCTCGACCCCAGAGTAGTTATAAAATCACATCTCATACGTAATTTATGTTACATGCAGGCAGTGGTGGGATCCAGCCGGTTCGTACCGGTCCTATAGAACCGTCTCACGGAATTTTAGGAGATCAGCGAACTGGGTAGCATTTTTCTGGTACTGTCAATGTTCTGACTTTTGTGAAAGCAATGTTCTGTTTGCAACATAACCGGCTGATAAATATGACTTTTGTGAAAGAACCAGCTGACAAAAAATTTGAATCCCACCACTGCATGTAAGCTATATCGTGTAAAATGTACCGAAGTAACGCCTCCAAGTTTGAACATCTTGTATTTTGTTAAGAATTATATTAACAAAAAACTCCCACAAAAATATCATGGTAGAAGGTATAATAAAAGATGCTTATAACGCTCTTGGCTTGTCATCATATCATCTCACAGAAAAGTAATTGTTACAACACCCTTGAATAATATATTCGATAATAGTCTTTTCTGGAGGCCAATATGCGATTTGAGCATGCTGTTTACGGTCGAGCAAATAGCTGAAAGTGCACCATGTTTTATAAGGTAGTAAAAAATAGGATAAAAAAAACAGACAAAGAAAAATTGAAAAGACAACATATAATAAAAGCAAATAAAAACATGGCCATGTAATTTTGGGTAAGTTACCTTAATCACAACTTATGGCATAAAATTCGATCGAACAACAATCACTGTCAACTAACATAAGATATAAAACAACATCAATTTCGACATAGGTAAGGAACATTGAAAAAATAGAAAATAACTAGGTAGGACGGAATCATATGTACCATAAGGTTATAAAATATATTGGCAGAAGGAAAGAAAGCCATTTATCCATTACTTTCAATCCAATATTTATACCGTTATCACTTCTGAAATGATATATACAGAAATAATATAACAAAATATCACCCCCGGTGCATGCTACCGACAGCTTCATTCATGTTGCGGATACCCTTATAAAGTTCGAAACCCGGAAAAATACAGTTTTATTCACACCAGTCAGCTCTATATATCATCAACAAAAAATCAGTTTCGTAATGAGCTCTCAATTGTGCAAAAAACATGGCAAAGTTCTTGGGCAAGTAAAAAATCCTCATAAGAACCCATATTGTGTACTAAATAGCAAACATTTTTTGATAGGAAAAAAATGAAATGGCGTAGGAAATGGCACAAACAAGTGTGATAAATAAAAAAATTAGTTAATGCAGTCAATAACACCAATCATGGCTAAATCACAAAAAAATTTGTGCCAGTCATTTTAGTCCGGAAAAAAAAAATTAACTTGCTAACGGTAGTCATATCTATATCATCAAAATATAGTCGGCCAAGCATGGATCTCAAAAGGCAAAGGTATATTAAACAATAGATCTCACTAGGGATGTAACAAATCTTTCAATAATTTTATTAAATTCATGTATTATATCATCTAACTATTTATTATTTTTGTAAAAATGGGAAAAAATAAATTGATTTTTTACAAAAAGTAAAAGTATAAAATATGACGTCTTTTAGAATTTCGTTGACCTTTGGCTTCCAGACCTCTTTGAAGAGCGGTCCAGAATTTGTGGTGTGCATACCATCACTCTAACGAGTAGAGAGTCAATGTAGTCTTCAAGTTCTCTGAATATTAAAAAAATATGTTGTTAAGTTACGTATAGGCCTAATACTTATATCACTATTCAAAAAATTGGCGCGACGGTGTGGCTCAGTGTGCTAAGCGTTAAGAATACGCTCGGCACCGCACCCCTTATTACTCTTCGTGGGTTCGAATCCCATGCGGGAATAGTTATGTGCGCTAGGATTGCTGGACTCCTCACCGCCGTAGGGTGGTTCACGTAACAGCTGGCCGGTTACAGCTTCCTCCACCATCAAGTCCATGCTTCCAAAAACAAAGTAACTAATCCCATACCCGACATGGAATGGTATCCAGACGGGAGGACAGGGTTCGCCATATGGTTAAGCCGTGTTATCGACTTTCCTCTCCCCCGGGATAAATATGTAAATGCTATCCTATATCGATTCCCCATTATATGGTAGCCACAGCACATTCATCAAATTGAAAGATGGTGCTGTTATCAGTTCTATGATTGCTCCCTTCAACTATAAAGAATAGTTCTTTGTTGAGCAATCAGATTTTGCTCGTGTGTAATTACCAGGAGAAGAACCTTCTTTTACTTCTTGGTGAATGCATGTGACATTGCTTTTAGCGAATTCTCCTAAAATGGATCCTACAAAGGCTAAGTGATGTGTTATAACACAGAAAGTTATGTGATTCTATCACAGATTACACTATGTAAGCCAAAATCTGGCTAAGAAAATCCTATTTGCCAAGTTGGATCGAAACAGCGGGCGAGTCCGACAGAGCGCCGGAAAGTAACTGTTTTCATGAGTCTTGAGAGTTTAAAAGGCGTTTCAAGCTACGAAAAATTGCTATGTATGATACAGAAAGATGCTATTATTATTTTTACATTTCGAATGGGGGAGGGGGGGAGGGGCTAGCTACGCCTCTGACTCATAAGCATGTACATTAAAGTAACCACATTTATAGAATTTAGTTTAGGATGGAATTTACATTTTTATCCTGGGGGAGCGTAAATTCAATAAGACAACCTAATTTTATGGCGAACCACAGCCTTTCATTTGGTTACCATTTAATGACGGGTGTGGGATTAGTGTGCCATTTATCTGTTCTGGTTGCATGGACTTGATGGTGGAGGGAGCATGAAACCAACCAGTGGCTACCTGAACCACCCTACGACAGCTGGAGGTCCAGCATTCCTTGCGCACATAATTAACCCTCAAAGGATTTGAACCTGCAAACCCATGCTGGGTGATCAGAGGGGGAATGGCAAGCGTATCCCTAACGTTTAGCAAGATGCGCCACACTGCTGAGCCAACGCTAATCAAAAATACGAGTTGGGTGAAAATGTCCGATTGTTTTAATTATATATATAACAAATCTCACCGAATCTGTTCACTTTTGCTTGAAAGTACGTTATGCTGTTTGATACAAAGTTTGAGTAATTCCTCCCTGCTCATTTGCTGGAAAGTAGCTGTTGGATCTTCTGGTATAGGTGAAACCTAGAAATTTAATGTTAAAAAACAATAATGAAAATAACTTCACTAAGTACAAATTAGATTTCCTAACATCTGAGGTTCGAATCGTTAAGTTGCCTAATAATCCAGTATAAAATTAGGCTAAATCCAGATGTTATGTCTTTGACAAGCTTCAAAAACCAATAATTCTATTTGGAATATTTGAAATTGATAATAGTCGTAATCTGCAATTTATATTTCGGATAATCCTGATCAAGTACATGTTGTAAATAAATGGTTCTAAACAAATAAAACTTAATCACTCACCTTACATAATTCCTTCACATCAAGCCTATAATAACTTTTAGGTTTATAAACAATTGAAAGAGAAGATGGTGTTGTGATTGTATTTGTTGACAATGTATTCAGGCTCTTTGAATTTGAAAAGTTGTCATTGCTATGATGAAAAAATATACAATTAAAAAGTTCAGTAATTCATCTTGATTCTACAATAGCACAAGTCTTTGTGTTGCTGATTTTTTTTGTTTTGTTGCATTTGGTTAATCTGTTAACGAGGCAACAGTTTGAAATATTAAACCAAATACACTTTGGATATATGTGAAATCCTCTTCAGGATTAGACAAAACTAATAACTTTCTATATCATATATACTTTTAAAGTCGTCATGGAATTGTTTTATATTTGATATGGATAAACTATATAGTGAAAAAAAATTGTGATATATTTGAATCGATTTATACAGCTATCACAAGTTAAATAAGCCTGTATTAGTCTGAACGTCAGTTACCAATAAATCTTGATCAAATTTCTTCAAATATGAAAATTCTAATACATTTTAAAAATCAATATTTACAAGAATGATTATATATACTTTCAACTTCTGGTATATTGAACATTCAAAATTGCTAATGTAATTTTTTACTTGATAACTAATGATGACACTACAATTTATTTTATCACAATCTGCCACAAGTTTCACTTTCGGTTATGCGGAGGAATTGTTATATTTGACATTATCAATATGTAAATCTCAGTCGTTGGGAATTTTCAACTTAAAGATGTGTATCGATCATTTTAAACCTAACATAATTAGCTGGTTCAACCCACGCAATCCAAGTAGGAAAGTATGGACATGATCATGAAAGGCTAAAAACCGCTTGTCTGAGAATGACGTAGCATGCACATGAAAATCTTTTCTTGGAATGCTTGGTTAGAAATACTGTGGATCATAGTAGAAATGTTCGTACTTTTGTGTACAATTTAGCATGGGAGAAAATGCCAATTTTACGATAGATTTTATGTAACAGTTTGAAAATTTGAATGCAGAAATTCTGTTATTCTGACAGCTGATAAGAATATTGAATAATTATTACTGGACACAGATTGTACATAAAAACTATTTTACTAAAATCTTTTTGTTGTTGTGGGAAAGTCGCTTTTTTTGCAACTAACAAACCAAATATTAGGTACTGGTGTATGAAGAAGAAAAAGTCGCTTGCAAGCTTTTATTTTATTTTGTCCAAATTCCTGGGGTACTATGGAACTATATGATTCACCCAAAAATTGCTTTTTCATTTTCAATTAAAGAGGAACAATTTTTCTTCGGGCATACTAGTCCACTGTAATTTTCAGCAGACCTTGTGTTCTAAGGCCTTATCATAAACATACAAATATTTCAGTATTGCTCTTATGTCTTCTGAGTGCAATAATCAAAATACTTCAAACCAAATTATAAGCCTCTAATCAACTCACACACTAGATATTTAAAACTTGTTAATACCCACTTAAATAAGGTGCAACACACTTGACAAATCAGAAGCTAGCTATTCAAATCTCATACTTCAATTACTATCAATTATTGTACTATAAAATCAGATGCTGCCATATAATTTCTTATAATCAATACATCATAGGCTGCTGACAAGGGGGTGTGTCAATAAGTGCAGTATCATCAGAAAGGACACACCCACAGGACAACGACCGAGCAGTTGAATATGGAATAAACTGCATATGACGCTACAATCAAATATTGATGTAATGAATTTAATTTAGTTATCATATAAATAAACTGATGCTTCTGTTTCTATTTATACAAAATGTGTTGAGAATAGAAAGCATATAAACATGCTATACTATATATATACCCACATGGTTTTGAAATGACTATAACAAATCATTTAAGGTAGTCAAAAGATTCAAACCTAAATATATATAGCAGAGAAACAACTTACTGTGATGCATGTAATTGATCCATGTTTTCATATTGTCCAAAATCAATATTTTCTGATGATCCAGTTTTATTCAAATTTTCGGCAGACGTCGTCAAACTGTTATTACCAGAATCAGTTCCTGAGATAACAGAAAATAGAATAATTAATTTCAAATATTCTTTTTTGATATCCACAAAGCTATATTGCAAAAGGCTTGGATAAAACGTACGTTGAACAAAACTAAGGGCCAAAAAAAGGGCAATGATAAGAAAATACATATGCCCTGGCATATTATAGGCATAAATTTAGCCATCTATATTTAATGACTTGGTTGCATTTGATCATAAAACCAAAATCATGTCATATAAAATGACAATCAATCTCTTAGGATTTTTATAGTAATTTGAAAAAGGCAACACAGCCTATCATTTACAGCACCCGTGGTACAGATTTAATGTTTCAATGATGCCGTTAGAAGGTATAATATATAATTATATGAGGCAGGTATTAAATTACATTTAAAATTAAAAAAATGTATCCCTCAGGAATGAGGTCAAAAATTGATTGTATTCAACTCATTAATCAAATGGTCCATTTATCAAAATGGGCCATGGCCCCTAGAGATTGAGTTCTCAAATTTCTGTTTTCAAAATTACCGTACAAAATAAGTCAATTTTAAAATTAAATAGGAGGGGCATTTTTGCCATAAGATTTGAAAGCTTGATTCGTATATTTCTAAAATGAATAGAATATTCAAATAGATTCGAAACTAATTACATTCAATATTTAAATTCTTGATTTTAGAAATAATGTGGAATTTTTCATTTCATAAATAATCTTTCACAATAGGACCAGAATGGTGTTATACATTTCTACATGTTCACTGTTGAACACAACCCAATCTGATATTCCATATTCAAGAATATGATTACAGAATGTATTAATAATGGTAGATTATTTGGCCTTGGCCTTTTTTAGGAGCACTTCATACCAATAATGAATAAACTACAATTTAACAAGTTTTGGTAAATCCACTCCAACACACCCATGAAACGTTTTATTTATACAAAGTCGAATATGAGTATTGCTCTTTTTTGATGTCTAATTGTGGCTTATGCTCGCTCCAAAGTTGGAATGTTAAAAATAAATTTCAGCTATCAATTCTGTGAACAAATAGGTATTAAATAGGTACCGGTAACTCAATGCCAAGTTACTGAATCATTACAAACTGATGTCATAACAGCGGCTTATTAAATAACTTATGCCGTTTTTGTTTTAATAATTGCATTATAAGTTAATAACAGCAGATAATCTTTTATATTTCTGAAAAAGCTCAAACTTGATATTTATTAAGTGCCAAGGTAAAAGATCTTCGAATAAAAAGTAATAGTCAGGCAATTTAACATATCTATTATCTTTGTAATCATGATAGAATTGACTGGTATTCACAGCTAGGATCACTGTAATGTAATCAATTAGCATTACATTTCTGACTTGTGAGAAAACAATGAAAATAGATAAAATTTAAATCCAAGTTGAATTAGAAAACACCATAACAAGCAAACAAAAAATATGATTTTAATACAGCAAGGCAAAATGAATCTCACTACACATGCAAATTATCAATTTCAAGCAAGCATTGACCATTGAAAAATCAAGCTTCCTTCAATGGATAATGCTTGTATTAAGTTTGATACTAGAAAAACCACTACGCCGCACCTGATATATAAATATGGGGACCATTAATACAAACAGGGTTGGTCGTAGAAGCTGAGCGTTCACGCTCTGTTAGAGCAAGTAAAGATGAATCAGGCATGGATCTGTTTCTCACGTGCTGTTTTCGAACGCCGAGTGTAGCAAGTGAACCTAGAACACCAAGTTAACCTATATTCACCAATGAACATAGCATAACAAAACACCATTATGATAGAGACATGCAAAATGTAGAATAAAGGAAAAGATAATATTTCATAAAAAAATAATGCAGTTAGACAAAGGAAGATATTGAGTTTAGATTGAATAGGATCTTACCAGTTCAGCATAGTGAGCACATTTTTGTTAGAGCCTGAGTAAGGCTACATGGTTAGGCAGGACATTAGCCTAACTAAAAACTGAAACTGAATCCCCTAATTTGTGATTCCATTATATTCATATAAATCTCTACAATTATATTTACAAAAATATAAAAAAAATCATAAAAATTCAGGTTATGAATGCGGGCCCAAAGCCTTTCTTTAATAATGTGAGATGACAAGATATTCAACACATCAAACTTAATATAAAACTAGAAAAGTACTATTCATTATTATAAAAATATAGCAAGAGACCTTGGCCACAAATATATTTATCATATATCATAAAACTTATCGTAAATTCTCTAATGTGGCTAGGTATGTTTTTCACAAACCCAACCCTTAATTACTCATATTCATTTTAATGTGGGTGTGACCTAATGGAATTTTAAAATAATGAATTTAGTTAATACCGTTATACCAATTAAAATTCCATCAAAACATACACTGGCGGGTCATTATATAAATGTTAAAATGTAATGCTAAACATAATCCTTCAACCACCTTACCCAGAGTGTAATAAAATGTGTAGTCAATACAAAATCAGAAAGATTCCGATCCTTCCAAATAAAATACTCCTTACATATGGCTATTGTATAAGGTCTCGTTTGGAGAGAAAGGTGTGAATAAAAAACATATAAAAAAAATATTCGGAAAAATTATCATTATTTCTCACAAGCCAACATTCAATTCATGCAGCAATTAATGTTAGTGGAAAGTAGCTCATTCGGCCAAGCATATGATTGTGATATTGCACATATAATGTGTGAATCCCATGCTATATAATGAAAGACATAACTTTTACGTCTTCGATATAAAAAATAAAATCAGAAACAAAGAAATGCCACCCATGCACGTATGAGTGAAAACAAAAATAGTAACAGGGAAATAAAATACTTCTCAATTGGAGAATAAATAAGAAATTACAAATATCAAATATTTTGTGATTTGATAGTAAATTAAAAACAGATAGTGATGAAATTTGCCAATAGGCCACAATTTTTACACCCTCTCAGACGTAGTTTTGATTGAAAAGAATTATCGTTAAAGACTTTGCATGCATTGCTGGAATGGTCAGGTATTTCTGGATTTATGACCCAAATGAGGCTATTTCTATTCAAAGCATTCTCATTTAACTGGAGAATGTATCGTTATGCGGTTAAAAACATGAATTTTATTCATGCCCAGAAGAAGAAAAAATTGGCTGATAATTATAGAATAGTCAAATGCTATAGCAGGATGTAATCAAATCGTTATTTCCAGATTCTAGATTCCGTATGAAACGATAAAGCTATACAGGATATCCTTTAATCACTAGTAATAAGTACGATGAATTGTGATCTATATAACATGATCTTACAATCTGCAAATTTTCTTTCGATATAGGGTTTACAAAATATATATCAATTTCAATATTGTCCTCAACGGAAATATTATATTTGTAAAATCTAAATATTTTCTGTGGTTATGATTTCAACTTATATATGATCATTTTGCTACAACAGTAGTTGAGAAACTCAAACTGAGAGCATTTGAGAAACATTACATAAGCATAGCATTCCATATTTGAACTCATGGTTAGAAAAAAAAACAAGAAAATAAAAATTTGCGTGTTTAGCTTTTTCATTTGAAATTTTTGTTAAAAAGTTGCCTTTTATGTTTCAACCATTTGGTTGAAAATTTGTTTCCGAAATACCTCAGAAAAACCATCTAAGTATTCACTTAGTAGAAGTATGAATTATAACAATAATAATCATAATGTAAATCTTTAAAAGTGATATTTTTTTAGTACGCTTGAAACACTGAGATGAATATTAGAAGATCAATAATGTCTGCAATAATATCGATTGATATGCGACATGACTTGTTCCAGAAAAAATAGCACGTTTTCGGAAGTGTCTGTATTTTGTTTACTACCATCCAAATTTGCCACATTCATTCACAAAAAATTTATGCAGCATGTAAGGTCAACCACGTTCTAGAAATGTTAAGAGCAGGTCAGTTTCTTATTTTTCCAGCATAAACATTTCAAAGAAGTATATTCGAATAAAATGGTATTCAAAAAACATGTTTTTTAATCTCGAAAATATAAATTATCAAAAACTATGTCCCCCATCTCCATGAAATTGTGGTTTGTGAAAAATTTTATAATAATTTAATGATATTTTAAAATTGTTTTTGCAGAATTCCAAAAATCTGAATTAAACAGTTCAACAAAATTTATCCTCTCTGGACCAAAATTTAGCAAAATTTCACTAAGTTTGACCTACTATTTATTAAATCTCTATCTTTATAAATAATATAGAATAACAAAAAGAAAAATTAAAATCAACAAGATAGTCCTATTACTATTAGATTACCTCTAACTAAATAACTGAAGATTGGAAATTCCCTATAACCAGACATTTTTCCAAAGAGGAAAAAAGGCCTGAGGGAAGTCAGTCTTTAGTATTGTCAACACTTGGATAGGTAATTCAAAATACACAGTTTCACAACAAAATTTAAAACAAATTTAAATCTTACTTCCACCAGAACTTGATCTCTTTAAACTGGAAGCACTTGCTACTTTTCTCATTTCAGGTTTGTTTAAAACTTCTACACTTGTGGCCTTCTTGTTACCGCCAAGACCAATTCGATTTGACAATCTAAAAATACACACATAGGACATGAATTAATGAGCACCATTTCACTCTGAACAAGGCCTTGTACAAGCAGCCACTGATATGTAAGGAGCTACTTCATTTTAGAATGACCAAAATCTTTACGATTCGCCATTGCCCATCAAATTTTTCTTACACAATGGGTGATGTGGTGGGCATGGGTTTCGAACACAAGATTCAAACTACGATGCCATCAATAAGCACCTTAGCCAATAAGCCACCGCCCACCCCAACCACCATAAATAAGCAATACAATCTATAAGAGCTGTCTGTGGCTTTCTCAATAGAGAGTCTCATCGTGTAATATCTCAAAAATGCTAAAATCAATACATTGATGCTTACTTCACTAATCCTCTTGCTGAAGCTACCGGATTAACATCAGCGATTGAAAATCGTTTCTTATTTCGAGCTCCGTCACTCGCACTTGATGGTGTTCTGTGTAGATTATCCATAGATTGGCCTGAATATGAATCAAATAACTGATTTGAAATCAAAATTAATTTAATCTAACTAACAGTTATAAGTAAAAGTAATAAGTGAGCATTAGCAAATAGAAAACAAAAACATCTTTCCAATAAACATGCCTATTTCTTTATCAAAATCTGTCCTTCCAATTTATATTTACCAACTTTTAAGCAAGTTTGCTTGTGCAGATCATAAGTAAATCATATTGATGACTATGTCCAATACAAAATTTCAATGACACATTCCAATTTATTTAATACAGGACTCTAAACAAACAGACCACCTTGGGAGAGAGAGTAAACAGTACACAGGGAGAGATAAGAAATCCTCGCATAAGACATATGAAGTAAACATGTTTAAAAGGGTAAGTTCCCGACATATACAAACTCAATGAATGTTGTTACCTTTTCTCATAGAAAAACTATCGCTTCCAACACCAGAATCTTCATCTTCTGATCTTCTTCGTAATTTTTGTCCTAATTTTGAAGTTATCTGTCGTAAATTCTTGGGACTTTTCTTGTCCGGAAGAAGACTCAACCTGAATGGATATTGGTCATTGATAAAATACTAGGAATTCACTTATAATTTAACCTTAAAATTATTTCCATATTTTTTGTCATGAGGTCAACTTGACTATCAATTGGGGTACGTAAGACTAACTTCCATCCTTCTTATATGAAAAGAGGTAGGTTAATCCACATGCATATAATAATGCAAGGATACTGCAGTAAGAATCAAGATGGCTCCATAAGATTTTAAAGTATTACATGACATAGAAACCAACTCAGCTAGCAAATAAAGATGAATATATACAAATATTTAATCATAGTTCATAATTATAGCCTTGTAATTAATTATAAATTTGAACAATCATTAATAAGGATTTTATTCGAAAATAATCAATATTATTTAGTTGTGAAAATGTCAAATTTTATAGGAGTGTAATTTCTATTTTCCTAATTCCTATCTAAATAGTATATATTACAGATGTAACAAACTAAATTTACACCCATAGTCTGTCTATTCAAGTGTCTTTCGGGCAGAATCTTTATCAAATCATGTAAATGAAATTTCCTGGTAGTCTATAATATAAATACATGAAGCACAAAATAATAGCACAAACCTGTCTTTACATATGAATTTTAATCCAATTTCGACTTCTCCCCTCTGTTTCTTCTCTTTCTTTGGATTTTTGTGCTCAAGATTATACCATCTAGAAATAATTGAATATCTTATTATACTTCCATAATCAGGCATATTTACAGTAAATAAGATAATAGCGCAAGTACAAGACCAAAGCACAATATAGTCAGGAACCAACAGCCATACAAATAAAGTATTAAGTATATGAAAATTGTCATAAATCCCATTTGAGATGTCTCTATATTTTTTCTTTCATAGACAAGAAAAGTGAGCACTTATTTATAGGATATGATGCCAAATCTAGCAACAGCTGAGAAGCATAAAAAAACGGTTTGGATATTACATGCTACTTCACCTATTATAATGAAAATGAGTGCTTTTGTAGATCTGACTTAATTACACTCACTTTCCGATGTCAGGCATAAAGAAGAACAAAGGCCAACAAATATTAATAATATGTGAAAATTTCGAAAAAAGGAATCTCTCATGAGGACAACACCAAAAAAATACTAACTTCCTAATCTCTTTGTGATCATTTATGCCTATATCTTTGAGAGGAATTTTGATGAGTCCGATGAAATCATCATTTTGTAACCCAAATTTTCCATGTTGTTTGTTGTAAACTGTAATTGTTACAGTCAGTTTATCGAGCACTCCACCTGAAAACAAAAAGTATGAATCATTTTATATTCTTTACTATTGTAATATAATTCTGAAACAAATTTCACACACCGCTGATTTTTTTATGAATCAAACCAAATTCTACAGTAAACAATAATATTACAAAAAAAAAAAAAAGTTTCCAAGAACAACAGCCAAGACAAAACTTTCAGAATACCAGATTTTCTTCACTTTACAACTCTCAAAATAGGCTTATTCATTTTAAAAATTTATTGACATATGGTTCAATTTTAATCTGCTTTGCTAAGAAATCTAAATCTAATGAGTCAAAACAGAGAAATTCAAGTTTTTACAACCATCTTTTGTTTGGCAAAACAAAACAACAACAGATCTGTATATGATAGAAACAATTTTACCTTTGTTGAGACATATTTTGATGCGCTTATTAAAAGATATCGATAATAGCAAGCAGTAAATACAAACAAGATTATTTCTACCCGAAAAAAGATAAAAAATGAATATCAATATTATAAACCAACCTTGGGGTAGTGCATATTGACATTCTTGATTCCACGTAGGTGAATTAGATTTTTCAACTACATTAGTAGCATATTTTTCACCCTCAAATTCCATTGTAGCATAAGCATCATTACTGCCTTTACCTTTTATTAAAAGGTTTTTGGCACGATGTACAATCACGCATATGTCTGTCGGACTAAACATTTTTATACAATACAATACAGAACACTAAATAGTAAAATAAATATACTGTTAGTTAGCGTATAATATATTTTTGGCAACAAAGGAAGCTTCACTCCATTATCCAATAGCTTTCTCTGAATATATAGATATATGATATCATCGGTATATCCTTTCTATTTATTACACCTGACTAGCAAAGTGTGGTTTTGACCATACTCCTACATAAAATAATAATAGAAATACTATAACAACAAAACCTGATTTTTAAACCATACCAATAACCACTTCAATAACTAATTCAAACTACACTATATATGTCATGAACATTCCACAACCACTTCAAATGTCTACCATAACAAACATACAAAATTAGGAGTTATAAAACAACAATCTGACAATGAAATTTGAATGAATGATAATACTGTAAAAGATACGGTACAGATGCAAAAACCGGGAACTGAAAGTGTGCATAGTTATACAGAAATTATAACTTCCCGAAATATGAATTTAATCAACCTGCTACACGAGGAAACTGAATTAATAATATGACAAAAACTGACTATAACTATTAGTATGGTACAAACTATGTCTGTATGTGTTCCCAAAACAAACTTGAGTTACTATACCCAACGGTCAGACGATATCCTATATACAGATATATCCCTGTCAGTCACCTGATACAAAACGTCAAAGTAAAGCTAAGTAAAATTCTGAACTATAAATAGGTTGGCAGATGTCGTCACTCCCACCGAGTTAAAATTTAACAAAACCTAAGGCGCTAGATCCAATCGTCCAAGCCCGAACCACATACCGTATAACTGTATAATATCGTACAATATCGACTCAATTCAGTAATGAATCTTCCGAAGTATAATTTCACTCGGGTGTTTTCTCAACCGAAACCCCCGTCTACCCGTAGGCCTCTAATACATTTGTTATTGATTAGTGCGACTACACAACATGATTTAGCGTCGCATTTTCACAAAAACGTTTCATTCGAGTTCGTTCATATTAATTTCTATTTAACAGTTGGCATAAATGTGCCAATTCAACGCCATTCACTTTAATGAGTAAGTTTCGCATATATAACATACAAAAATGCCTACAATCGTTATCGTGCCTTACACTGCCATAAATCTATAAATAAACTACCACTTCAAAACAATCAAAATGTGCCGATATCGCCGCATCACGATGCCCTGGTTATTTGCTAAGCCTTCCGGCGAAGTCATTCGAAAAATAAAAAAGCTCACTCGGAACACTAACAATCGCATACAGGAACTATTAAGTCCAATCAGAGATAATAAAATATCCTCAGAAGGATTAGTCATCCGTTTATGGCTTCGAACTCGATCGAAAATGGCACAAAATAGCCGACAGCGTTTCACAGAAATCAGCTGACGCCCGCGAGAGAAATTATTCGACCGTAAGCACTGTCTGACGTCATTGACATGGCAACGGCGCGAACAAACGTCACTAATAACACCTGTGCGTCTCGAATCGTCATAAACGCGTTCTTGGTCTGATTCTGAACTAAAAGGAAGGGCCTACGTCACCATGGAAATAAATTGTACATTAGCGTTTGAAATTCCCATCTCTTGGGAAAGTTTTTCACACTCGTAAACATTTCTTTTGACTGAAACTAACGGATATTTTGTACAAATCCCCGCCACTATAATGCAAAAAATGTGAGATTTGGGAAAAACACCTCCGCCAAGTTTTAACAAATTAGTAAACTTTCACTGGATAACTAATTTTATTATTTTGAGCGTTGGCGGAGGTGTTCCTTTGGCGGGTGATTTGATTTGTGCATAAGATACAAACTAACTTACCGTAATATTTTACAGTTCTGTTATACAACGGCTTACGTGAGAGCATTGAAAACTTTTCCTTGTGTATTTCGCATTTGCCGAAAAAAAATGCTGAATAATTTAACCGACAATAAAAAATAGCTTCGACGGAATTTAGGTTGGTTTTGGAACGCAGCGTGGTTTCTCAAATTGTATTCACGTGGTTGACAATTAAGTGCGAGAGAATTGACAGGCTTCTCCCTATCACAGGTTGGTTTGCTGGACTTCAGACCACCAGAGGTTGGTTTACTGGACTTCAGACCACCAGAAGTGGGTTTGCCCACTAATCACTCACCATAAATCCATTTCATCTGGAACGATTACGCCAGATAAATAAACTGGCTATAACTATTCCGGACTCATAACTACGAGGCCGTCGTTGACTACATTATTGAAGCCTGTTGCTATCCACTTTTCATCAATGCGGCTTGATAGTTAATCGATGCATAGAATCAAAATTAATTTATTACTTACAGTTACGAGATGGCCGAGCATGCATAACTTGAAGCAGAGAGGCTTCAACTTTGCATAAGTTACAAATAATGCCGGGTAGCCGTGGAATGAATAAAATGATTAATGAATATGTACTTTGCAGAAAAACTTATTTTTATTAGACATCGATCGTTAGTTTCATCCACAAAGTCACCGAGGTATTTCATGTTATATTTAAAATATAACCTGAGTGTGAAAATTTTGTGCTCATGCACTATTTTTGATTACGGATATTTCGATTACAAATAACTTGGCCTTTGGTAAGCAAACCTTATCCAAATAAGGTAAAAATTTCCACTTACATTTTGGAGAGCAAAAAGTAAACTAGGCATTATATCAGTGTTGAAGAGTATAATAAACAGAGATCTGTTTCTATTTCTACCATAGAATTATGCAAGTAAATTCTGCAGGTCAAATGGGAAGCAAGTTTTTTACAATCTTCTAAAAAACAAATATCTACCATAAAGAAGTATTTTCAGAAATACAACATATATATCAATAACAGATATCCGATATACATCCAAACGCCGATTGTCGCAAATACATGTAAAGGAAATTACCAAAAGTGCCAAAAACATGGGAACGGTCAAGTTGATTATTGGTCGTGAACACTTTGAACAGGCTATAGATGTGAGTTAAGTTGCTCACACGGCACATCATAATTTACTCATCTACTGTTAAAAGAGTTTTCATGACAAATACCTCACCACAAAAACTTATTACGTATAATGTCACTAATTGCGAATTGTTGCGTCTTCAAGCTTTAGTCATCATCACCATAAAATTCATACATCCAATAAGTTTGCTATATGTCTTCGATCGAAATTTCCTCGCGAAAGGAAATGAGAAAGATATCATCAACTGGCTCTAACATGCGCCGAGTGCTATACTACAAACGTCATAGACTAGATGTTTTCATGCCCTTGCCTTGCAACTTGTCATTCGACATTATTTCTGAACCTACATGGAGTGCATCATCTGTGAGGCAGTATATAGCAACGGTATATAATTTTAAGTACAGAAAATGAGTTGTTATAATTGACTATCGTGCAGTGAAAACAAATATATATTTAAACACTTATGCTTCTTCTGAAAAAATTGCGAAGGGCAAATAGTTTGTTTGTAAAATGCGTAAAATTACACCTACGCAGTAGTAAAGTGACAAAGTAAAACAAAGATAAAATTAACTTAATTCATAAATTATTAATAATATCAACCACATTAATCTATTTTAGGCCAGCAGTTACTCCCACACGAATCCCAATTTGAAAAAAATAAAATAAAATACGGCTGAAATAGTGCCATAATATATTATGTCACACAAATTTAATCATTCTAGATTTAGAAGTTGACGAAGTAAATAATTGCGAGGAATAAAAATTAGATCTTATTTTCAGCAAATCTTTACATTTAGCAAGATTGAAGATGAAGTACCATCGTTACGAAAATAGGGAACATTAATGAGGACTTATGGGATTGCTGATTGGACGGAAAACTACATCAGCCAGAACTGCGCACAAAAAGTGCAATGCTACTTAAAAGTCTCCATGACGTGATAATAGGAATTATTTCAAATACATCTCATTGTTAATTGCAAAAATATAAAGTATTTGATTCAAGAACGGTCGAAATGAAATACAAAACACGATTCAATAAATCATCTTTTATTTTTCCGTTTAGAACCTGGAAAATGATCGGGGAGGTATTTTCTTCTCTTCTTCATTTCTTCTTTAACGTTAAGACCAAATTTCATATTGACTGCTGGTCCCCATATTTCATCGTTATCTAAATACAAAGCCTTTGTAATAAGGTCGTGAACTTCGCGTCCAAGGGTGCGTGGATCTTCAAATGTCCTCACGGCGAATAGAGCATACGGTTCTTGCCTCGAAATCGCCAGCAGTAATCGTAATTCTATCAGTAGTGATGTTGCGGACGGTTTGAACTCCTCCATTTTACTGATTTCGTTGAAGCTTTGTTTCATTTTAATACAATGGCAGTCATCTCCCTCTAAAAACCGCTTTTTGATTCCTTCGTCCGCACCGCCAATGTATATCTGACTCTGACTTCCCATTTCAGAAAGGGTTTCCGACGTCGTTTCCTTTATTACCAGTATATACATGGAACTGGGAGTTTCGTAAGGCGAAAAGTTTACATTTAGAGGTTCACAAAGTTTACGCAATAGCGTTTTCACTTTGGGATCGATCCACTTTAACTCGGGAGGAAATTCTGGTCCGAGTACATCGTGCTGTTCTTCCAGCATAGCCCATCTTTGCCATTTGAATTTCGGTTCATCTCTTGGGCGGATCGGAGGAACATCTTCGTCGCCCGCTGCTTGTTTGTCGGCAAACGGGTCTTTCTTTCCGTAAATGCATTTTGGTGCAAAATCCTCACTATCCACAGCATCTTTTTTTAATCGCTGTCGGAAATTTTCGAGTACAACTTTATGTTCGTATAATAAAGTTTGCACGTATGCTTTTCGTACATTTCCTTTACGGAAATGCTTCTCAAGCTTGTAGAAATCAAAAGGTTCAACTTCGCCCGAGCTTGTATTCCATCTGGATTATATAAAAAGCGGGTTACATTTCCAATAAATCGCGCAGCGACAAATAATAGGATGCAGTAATCTTTACGATAATAAAAATTTTATTTATCGTGAATTCAATTTATGACATCATAAATGCTTAGAAATGCTTTTCGCCCAAACTTTCCAATTTGGAAATTGATTTCAATTATATTTTGGCGATTTATACATGTTCCAATTCATAGAATAAAAACCGTACAAAGCCACAGTTGCTTTTTGTCAGAAAGTTTGTTGAAAATACTGATAATTCAAATTCTTGGGCTGGTAATTTTTAAACAGCTCACCTTATATTATATTGCTGCTTTATTAAATTTGAAGCAATTTTCTTCGGGGTTTTTGGTCTCAGAACTCCTAAAATATCTGTTGGATTTTTTGCTACATTCACGCATTCTTGAAGTTTTGCTTTTTCGGCAAATTCTAACGAATTTCCTAAAACGGATGAAAATATTTTTACTCTTTGCTGAAAAAAAAAATTTATAGCTGGCCTCTTTTAAAAAAGGAAATCTTTACTGTGAAGATAAGAGCATTCGTACAGGTAAAACCGAAGCACACCGCCACCATCCCATGTCAAAATGTTCGGTGATCATGCCAGATCAAATTAATTGTAGCTAAGAAATGATATTTGGCTACTTCGTATTATTTTCAAATTTTTAGTAAACGTTTTTTTTTTATTAAACGCGAATGGCTTCGCGAACTTGATAAATGAAATGGTGGTACCATTCATGGGCAAAGCCCTGCTGTATTGTGCACTAAAATTTAACATTAAAAACGTCTCTGTAAATTGTCAGGCAAACTTTATAAGTGAGAGAGCTACACAGCAGTGAAGGTGTTTAAAATTGATTGAAGTTCTACAGATCAAACCTTCAGATGTTGTGAAAAAATTTGCACTGTTCTTACTTGATCATGGGCGAATTAGAGAATATTTAACGTTCAATAACAAAAAATAATATTTCAAAATGTATTTAGTCTCGGCTTTCTCGGTCTAAAACATTGGTTATGTTTGAGAGCCTATATTGTAAGTTCAATATTTAAAGGAACCAACCATTTTCTGTTTGTACTTTCGGAATATATTTCGTCAAATCTCGGCATTGTAGAATTTGTTCAAGTTTTCCATCCTTTTCTCCGTCGCCGCCAACTTGCCTGAAAAAATAAATAATATTGTATATTGGAGATAGTATCTACAACTTACAACTAAAAATTGTACTATGACTATTTACATTCATCAGTTTTTTCAGACAGAGATCAGAAGAACTTACTGAAACTTCTATTGGAAGCTTCTAAATTCATATAAGGAATCTGGCAGTTCTTCCAAATAAAGAATATTTTATCGTTGCTGCGTGTCTACTATTGATAAAGCGCAAAATACAATCTTTGGTAAACAACAAAATGTACCAAAAGATATTTGGAGTGCGCATATCATTTATAAGTAACCGATATTTTTGCTTGGGATTGTTCCGCGGGCTGCGGTATACTTACTTTTTTGGAGAATTACAATTTACATTTCGAAATAAGCATATGTGAATGATAAGTTACTAACGTATGAAACTCAAATAGGCTCAACGGAATCGTGATTCGTTTGAACCATTTACGGGTTTGTAAGATCAACAAAAGTACACGATTGTGACGATGAACAATGGATTGAATGTAAAGAAGCCGAACATAACAAAAGGCTAAAATACAACGATGCTCAGCAAACGATTACAATTGTTATTATAACTGGTGGGAGTGCCATAGTGTCACATAGTAATGGTATCGATACAAAATAATTTTATTAATAGCTAGCAGAAATAGGATACTACTCATGTCAATACAATTTGCTGACGCTCTAATTGCGGTTTTAATTTATTCCTTCCTATTTCATCGATTGACTTTTTGGTGGAAAACAAAATCATAAGTAAATCTATCTAGTATATTTATTTCCTTTTCTGAAAAGTTCAGATGTTAAGCGGAGCATGTATGTAACGAACTTAATAAAAATGTACCTATTTGTAATAACACAACAATAGTATACTTAAATGTTCACCCTGTGAGCATATTATTTAACGCGAGTAATCCCTATCGTGCTAACAACTCATATAACAATGCGTATTTACTCATATCAATAAAATAGAGCAGTCAAAGAATTGTGACGTCACAAAGGTATAAAACAATAATTCAATTTAAAGTTAACGAATGTACCACAGAAAATTATATACAGATTTATTTAAAAATTTATTTCTAATTTAGAATTTTAGATAGTCCTCGTTAATGAATGGCGGTTTAAGTGTGGGTCCTTGAAAGTCATTCAAAATCAAGGGCTATTCACTTAATACCACAGAAAGCGTGAATTTACAATCTTTATTCTCCAAAATATAATGTTACATGTGTTTACTGATTCAGTGCCATGACCATTCGGGTTATCCAATCAAATAACAAATGTCATTCCAAGTTTTATTGAATCGAAGTTAAAGCGGCCTGGGATGTTGATAATTAAGCACAGCTCGAAAACAAAATTGGATATTTTAATTAAGCAAGAGTGGATGAGAGCCACTAATCGATCGGCGATGTTTCTTATCTATGTCGCATTCGGGACTGAATATGATATAAAAACACCTTTCTAGCAAGCCAATCGACTATCAAAAACACAATGTCAATGCCAAATTTTATATAACGTTTCTCCAGCGTGAAAACGACGAAAAGCGTTTTGTTGACATATATGTCAAAAATTAATTGTTTAACGTTAACGTCGGAAAATTCCATTTTTGATAAATAAGTCAAGGGAATTTGACATAAAACTACTGAATAGCACCTAATCGGCTCTCACATTATTATTATTTTTCTTTGCGCACATTTCAGCCGATATAATATTCAATTCACCTCAAGTCAAGCGTCATCGTAATATTGTTGTTTCCAAACAATGCTTCTTCAAATTTGAGTAAAATAGCTTTCTTTATTAATAGATGTTGCTTCTGTTTTTTGTCAAGAGACAAAGCTTCCAACAGTTGAGCGATGTCGGACAACGGCCTCTTTGTTTTCTTCTTTTTATCCTGTTACACACATTGTAGTATTTATTGTGAATAACTTACATATATATGACGAGAATGGAACTATAACTAATACTAATATGTCGAAAACGTAATGGTCTTTCAATTCAAGCTCCTTCATTATTTAGACATTTTGGAATGATATGTATAATACAGTTGTCGTGAATAGGATGAATATTTAATGACCAAAAGTAATGCCTAACTGTCTTTTTATGAACTCTAATTCAATGTGCTCGAGCGACGAGCACCATTATGTATGAGCGTGTTTATTACTTTGAGAATGTATTTCATTTTCCTTGAACAAACCCGACGTCCAACGTGGAAATATAAATCGACGAACGTCAATTCAAACTCAAAATAAAATCGACAGACTGATGGCCGTTTCGAAATATTAATTCTTATCCAATATTTGCTCCACTGTACGTTCAGAAAACTTTGAAAACGAATAGGTCAACTATACAGTACAAATATTTAGAGATTATTAAATATTAATAAAATGGCTAAACCGCTTTGGGCAGATTCCAATAGAACAAATTATATAGGACAATGCAACAATTTTATTGGGTTGATATTCTATCTTGTCAACCAGAGGGTTTGAAATGGCGGTTCTACACAAAAATCATCATCAATAAAAAAAACAATCTTCAATACCAGTATTGATTGTTAGTAACAGTCGACAAACTTTGTTCATGAAAGCGCAGGCCGCTTTATTGATGAAATATAAACGCAACAAAAGACTTGCGCTGCTCAAATATTGCGTGTTTTAATTTAGGAGGATCGTGTACTCATTCGTTAAGCTAATAAAATGAGGATCAAAGGTGATTCGCATCCGTAAATTATGGTTCAACTACTGCCCGCGTGTGAACGTACAAAATGAGTCATAAGTTTTTCTGACAAGCGGAACAGTCAGGTTCGCGAATGATTTACCAATAAGTACAGCACACAGTTATCACCGATGTTTGTTTTTCGTCTTGAGAAGGCCGTATTGTGTATCATACTCACACACAATAGAAAGATAAATGTCACAAATTGAAGAGGATGGAATTAAATTATGCGAGCGGTAGAGCAAAGGCTATAAATTTGAACATAAAAAAGTTTTAAAATTCGTATCTGTTTTTTTTCATTCGACTACCAATAACTGAATACCATGGAGTCGTTTAATTTAAAAACTGCCAGCATTCTGCGTGCTAATTTTTTCGAAACAAAATGTTGGCATTTTTTATTATGCCTTTCATTTTCATCTTATCCCATCTTACCTTTCGTTTAGGAGAATCTTCGTCCTCTTCATCAAGCTCTTCTTCACTATTCTCGTCATCTTCCTCTTCTTCTTTCTCCTCCTCCTCCTCTTCTTCTTCCTCCCCGGCTCTTTCTGCCGCCAACTTTGCATCATGTTCCACCGCTGTTTGTATTCCAGTTTTCAGTCTCTCTGCTGTGAATATTAAATCTCTGTACATTTCGACGAGTGTTGCATCAACATTTTCGTTGGCGTCGATGTTCAGAATGTTTTTAAGAAGACTGCTTTCCGAAGTACCGTTAAAATTCACGCCATTTGTCGCCATGTTTTCAACAGTATTTTCCTAATTATGTAGCTATGCTCATGTCTGAATCTAAATAGAATACTAGGTTTCATTAGTGGAGGTTATTGGATAATTTATTAGGTATCCTCATGTCGGAATGCGATGTTACCGTAAATTGCTCTATGCTTGGCTTTATTCTATTGAATAATTTCATTAATATTAAAATCTAAGCTTTTAAAAATACAAGTTATTATCATGACATAGGCATATTGAAAGCAAACTAATAAGCGGAATATCTCATCTACAAAACCAAAATTCGAGGTCTAACATACCATAATCGCGCTTTACAGAAAACTGAAATATTCAGAACAAGAAATGTTACTACTGTTTTGTAACAATTGTCCTTGTTTGACAACGACCATGGTTACCAACCTACCAGAGGAAGAACAGTGCTCTTGGATGACAACTAGCGACAAAGCCATTTCGAGATGTGCACCTTCACTGCTTTTGCTTAGATTGCGTGCAATCTTTTCGAATACATTATGCTCCATTACCTCCACGGGATTCGAACCCGGATGATCAATGCTTGGGTCGCATGGAACCAGGTTCTGTGGATGTGATCAGTATTACAATTTTACACATGCCCTCTGAACTATACAATAAATCAGATGTAAAGTGTTGAATAGTAGAAAAAAATTTTTTTATTAGCCGACTCTTTTTCTGTCTTTATTTTATAATTTCATATTGTGATAATCCATGCTGACATTTTGATCGGTGCTCCCGAAGTATGCGAACCAAGATGGCGGACATCGGAACGTAACATGGGTAACAGGTTAGGGTTAGGCGATAATTTTTTTCCAATTTTCCTTATTTTAGTCCTATTATCAGTTCGAAGACTATCCAAGAGCCTCCCGTAGTATTTATAGCTAAAATTATGGCCTAACCCTAACCTAGTACACATATTACATTCCGATGTCCGCCATCTTGGTTCGCATACTTCGGGAGCCCCTTCAATGTTTAAATATTCACTGCACTGTATTTTCATGAAAATATGTACCATGGTCCTTTTTCAACATTGTTTTGTGGAAATAAAATCTCTCTCTCGCACACTAAGCACTATTGACTGAAGTCAAGATACACAATTCACTTCGGGGAGACGAGATTGGTTTCATAATCACGGAAGTCTGTGAACCATAAGAATAACAATATGATTTTGACGTTCCAGAGTCTCCCAACCCCAGCTGATAAGTTTATCCGTCACAATAAATAGTTATGGGTCGTTAGCACAAGCCTGAACTCAGGGGTGCGCACATTTTTTTGATCGGGGGCCAAAAATGTTACCCACCTAGACTGGCGTGCCATGTATTTTAAGTATGATGTAAAGAGTTACATTTCATGAACAATGTTTACATTATGGCAATCATGGAAAAATGGATGATGGGGGTGACAAATTCTTTATTGCATGTATAACCTAACCATGTATATCATATTATTAATGTGGTAGTGTTGTCCATACTTTGTGATACCAATGTTGTGTTATTTTTTATTATTAAAAAAAATGCAGGTATATATTTCCGAGTTAGGTCTCGATTTTAATGATTGCAAGAAAACTGTAAAGTAAAATGGAACCAAGATATCTTGGAGGAATCAACAAAGGCAGAATTATCACACTTGCATTTAATTTCATGCACAACACGAAAACAAACTGTTTAAAACTTGGGAGGATACTCATACATAACACTTTATAAACATTGTGTAATGAAGGCAATCGATTCAATAGCCCATATAAATAACCTTTTATGAACATTTTATATTAAATTCCTAAGATGCTACATTACAACTTGACAAAAATCATAGTATCACTGTTTTGATATATTATTTCCTGCAAAATGCATTTTTTTAATTTGGGGTTGATTTCTATTTTTGTTGGACTGAGTGTTTTAGGCAACACTGATTCTTACAAAAAAGAAACAAACTTATTTTGGTAGAATTACATATATTGCCTCAGCAAGATCTACTCCCAAGACTTTAACATAGAATTTTTATCAACCAAACTTCAAATAGAAGTTATTTATACTACAATTGCTATGAAACAATGTGGTAAGCAATGTTTAATCGTATGCTAAATCTTTCAACTCTTGAAATTTCAAGTCCACAGCTTTGGATAATTCTGACAGAAAAACTTTCATCGTACAGACTTTTGGTTCAATAAACATCGCTTGAGTAATGAAAGGAAGCTTGCGTAAGGCCCTGCCACTAAGTCCAGAACATTTTTTAGATATACTTTTCAGTTCTTCAGAATATCCCTTGTTTTCATAATCCACATCTTCAGGGTGAACCCAGTCAAATGGGTGAATATATTGTCTTGGAAAAATGACATTCACTCTTATAAGTTCAAGGATACAAGAACGTAATATTTCATATATGGCGGAAACTGATGGCAATCCAATGTACTGCTTTATGTCGGCACGATCAACAAAAGCCATGTCTAGTTTTCCAGTAACATTTGAAGTTGTCATTATAACAACATTTGGATATTCCTTAATTTTATCAATTTGAGTCAGCAATGCATTAACAACTCTAATCGAGTCAGAAGGCTCAGTACCAGAATCATGAGAAGCCCTGGCACAAGTCAAGCTCTCGACTTCATCAATTAGAACGCAAACAAAACTGTCACCATCTTGGACTAGTTCTTCTATTTTAGCAAACATTTTTCGGACCAAATTTCCACTTTCAGAAAACCATTTCGAAAACAAGCTGTGACTATTTATTTCAAGTAATGATCCTTGCTGAAATCTATGTGACAATCGAATACAAATTTTTTGAGCAAGTGCCTTGCACAAAGACGTTTTTCCAGTACCAGGTGGACCATGTAATAACACGACTCTATTACAAGAAATTAAATTTGAATCAACACCTTTATCCGCATAAAACAATATTGTTTCAATATAACGCAAGAGATTGTTTTTAATATCTGTGTCAAATTTGAGAGTTTCCCAAAGCCCTTGTAAATTTGTTGATGGCAGCATCAAATGTGATGCAGCAGGAAGGTCTTTATCATCACCATTTTCAAGCATTTCATCAGCTGCTTCCAAATCATATAGCTTGTATACATGATAATGATATTTTAATCCATTTCTGATGTCATATCCATTTTCATTAGTATGTTGATGGTTTGATGTTGATATTGACAAAACGTTCTGATTTAATACAGGATCAGAAAATTTGTATTTCTCTGATCCTAATTCGAAGCCAATATTATGTTGATATTTTTCCACTGCTGCTATAATAGTTTTATTACTCTCTACACATTCTGGTCTAAGAAGAATTTCCACATGAACAAGAGCCATCTAAAAAAACAAATACTGTATTAAGTCACTTAGAATAGAACAATTCACAATTACAACTGTACAGTGTTACGAATATTTTTTTAAATATATGAAAACTTAAGAAAATTGAATACTACCGGTACTAAAAAGAATACAAATGGCCTACAGCAATATGACTCGTATGAGTATTTTATTAAGTCAGTAAGTAGACTAACTTTTAATCATACCCAATCGAAACTTCAATTCTGTAATTGCAGAATTAGGAGTGACACTGTAACTGTGTTAACTACATAAGTTACCGTATGGTCTAGCTGTAGTTTACGGGTATAGTCAGATACCGGTACCAGTACTGCAGTAGTGTATGATTAACTTGCCTAACTCAACTCACTAATGCACTATCAGACTATGGGTTTTCCTCTCTCAGTACGTGGTAAACGAAATTATTATGAAAATATAGAACTGTAGAAAGTTGCAAACATGGTACAGACTTGATGTATTTCAGTTAAAGATGTACCGTACCGGTATGATGCCAAACCACTGCACTGTACCTGGTTCGGGCAGTACGGTAACTAATAAATAGCCTAGGATACAAATAAATCGTGATAACCTATACCGGTAGCTGGCATAGACCTAACGTTACCAGCTACCATATTTTGCTAAAGAATATCATACAACTGTATACCATTTACGGTACAGTATAGTAATATCCGATCACAGAAGTCTCAAAGAATTAAGCGATGAAAGAAGAACAATAAAAAAGAATGTGAGGGCCGCTCACTGTTCGTCATACTCTCTCCTGTTGACTAACAAATTTGAAGTTCGCGCCACAGCAATGCCGCAATAAAACTTGGGATTTAAATTCCGTGTTCCGTATTCGTATAAAAGTTGTTGGGAAAATTGATATATAGCGCAAAAACATAAAATAATATGTGTTAGGAACTAACTGAGAAAAGGCAGGAACGACTAGATACAATTTAAAAGAATGAGAACAGCCGTGTGCAACAGGCGGCCCGCGGGCAAACTGTTTAGTCAATCAATCAATTTTATTTGGTCACTCTGATAGAAACGAAAAACAAAACAACAACAAACGAACAAACAAAATACAGAGGACACGCATAACTTAATAAAGAAGTTAAACTCGTGTTAAAGTAACGTGTTTAGGGCCCGTTCACGAAAAACAGTCAAAACACAATAAAACAAAAACACGATATAAAATCGGGCAATACTTTAAAATTGAATTTAAAATGTGAGACGTGTGTGTGTAACACAACAGTGCTTTTCCTACAAAACTATGAAATAATACACACTCGCTGACGTAAAACGGTGATGCTGTAGGCCTAGTTCAATTTCAAAGGGGACTGCATCAAGTCCATGCTTCCGAAAAAATAAAATAACTAACTCATCCCATACCCGACATGGAATGGTAACCGGACGAGAGGCCGTGGTTCACCATATGGATAAGCCGTCTTATCGGCTTTCCTCTCCCCCGGGATAAATATGTAAATCCTATCCTATCCTATCATTAAATCTTACAAAAATAACACAGTGACAAAAAAATGGTTACTGAAAAAACAAGCTCGATAAATAGATTGAATGTTTCATAGCAGTCTATGCACAAATCATGGATTGGGGTATCGGGTTCTTTTGCCGTTTTCGATTAGTTCAATTTAAAATCATTGTATCCGTTTCAATGCTTTCAACATTAATGTCAAATTTCCACGAACAACTACCATTCCAACAGGTGCAGTGTTCCCATCTTTTCTGCCTCTGTTCCACCATCCACAACTAGATTCAGTGTGGCACTTGTTAACATAGTTTCCCACATCAAAGATAAAATCCTAATCTGACAATTTATGTTTAACAAGCGGCTCACATGGGTAAAAACACATAATGTTTTTGCACTTTTCGCTGCGTCAAATCTTCCGCCGCTTTGCCCAGTACCTTTATTGCTGTGGGTTGAGGCTAAGCGATAGCAGCATTCTCTTCTCTTGCCTTTGCCTTCCGGCAGGGGTCGGCAACTTTTTGTCACTCGCTAGCCAAAATTAAGAGTTGCAAGTCATTGGCGGGCCGCACATATTTTTAGAAAGATAAAAACCGAACGAATGTTCCATGAATCATATTTTTTCACACAGATCAGAAGTTATATTTAAGCAGCGCGCGAAGACTGCACCAAATCGTGAACTCAACTTGGTCGTCTCACTTGAAGAAAAAAATTACAAATGACATTTAATGTGACACTTTATGTGCATCACGCTTTTCTAAATGGGACACTGGATGAAGCCAAGATTGAAACATTTTATAAATGGGAATCACTAATCCGAGTTCTCAGATTGTTCTTTCTGATGTTAATTTTCAAAAATAGTTGTTCGCATCCATATGTACTTCCAAACATCGATGTGAATTTTTTCGAATGGTTTGTCAAATTTGGATATAGTTTACTATGAAGAAGACACTTTTTATAACAAAAATCAAGCAGTGATACATCTCTCGAATGGAATATATATATATATATATATATATATACTGTATATTTATTTCCTCATTGCATTGCATCTCAAAAAATGCCATTTGAATAATTTCTTCGCCATTGAAGAACCCTCTGTACTTAGCATCAACTTTTCTGCGTTTTGTTGCCATTTGTCTAATTATAATTAAATTATAGGCTCATTAAACGAGTAATTGTGAATTATATACTTGTTAGGTTATAATATATATAATTTAGTCTGCACGTATCGCACAATAAATTCAGTTACGTAAAAATAAAATCGTCAAAACAGATGTTTTGTTACTATAATTCAGTCAAGCGTCGCGGGCCGGATTCTATTACTCCGCGGGCCGTAGGTTGCCGACCCCTGCCTTACTGCTAACGCTCTGCCCGCGGCGTTCTGGTTGTCGATATTGTATTTTGGCATTTGCAGTAAGATACAAACTTTTACGTCTTTTTTGGCAATATTATGCTCCATCCGTGAGACTGATTACCCGACATTTTTGGGCTCACTAATAATTATTTCCCCGAATAAACCAACCGAGCTAGATGAAATTGAGCGCTTGAAAAGCTTGGAGACCTTGACAACAAAATACGTCTTTGGAGAGCTTTTTCAAGAATATCGTCAGATATCAGTGGCTGCTTGTCCTTGTTCCTGTTTAGAGAGAAAGGCGCTAGTCAACTTCGTCCTGAAAAATCATTGCCCTTCTCCCCAATTCTTGGCTTGGCTACGCTCTTTTCGTTGCTTCGGCATTTTGCCATCAGATGAATTCACCTGGATTCTTTTAGTACTTCATTCGATGCAAGCACCGGTTTTGGAAAAATGGTACAAGGTTTTTTTTTGGTGTGATAATTTTTATTTGCTCAAATATTTGTCTGAAGCAATAAGAAATTACTAAAGTCATTTGTCATGCGGTTATTGCAAAACCTGATAAGCGCAACCGCAACATCTTTATACAGTATAGTACTGAGCTTTTGTGTGACTAAACAGTCACCTAAAGTACGTGCTTCATGCCCTCGGTGAATATGCAGAAGTTTAAATGCCTAGACGTAATAATTGACAACTCACAATGGACGTTTTAGAGTTTTAGACACTAATATGACAATCACTCGACAGTTTTCTTTATTTTTAAACATGGAACGCCGATATATAATTGTACCTTTAAATTTGGAAATAAATTTTCCATATTCATATACTTGCACATCTCACTCATCAGTTATCACCTGTTAGTCGTTGGTTATCACACACGCAACGGCTATTTTGCACGATGTTGGGTTTGTGAGCAAATTGCAGGTAATCTGATAACGAAGGGAGACCCCTGAATAATGACCCGTCGCCCATATTCATGTTTATTTGTTTTCCTTCTCTTTTAGTGGATGCACGCGTTCAATAAGTCCTGAACTCATATTTAGTTTGTTTGTTTTTTCATTTTTTTTCCCTTTTTATTTTCTGTGAATTCTTTTATTTTTGTGAATGAATCAAAATAAGATTCATACAACAATCTCGCAAATGGGTATTTTCTTGGGGTTGAAGGTCATGGAGCCAACCATTCCATTTCTTACCCTGTTTCCAGAGCCATTATATAACAATGGCTCTGCTGTTTCAGTGTTGCCTTGTGAGAGATTATTTACGTATAATTTATACCTGATTATTGTTATTCATTTATTATATTATGATTTTTATTTATTGCATAATCCACATTGTGGAGTCATAAAAAAAATATATATATATAATTTAGATGTAATAAATACCCATTTAGATGATAGAATATTTTCTAGATTATTTTAGCATTCATTTAAATATATTTGGATTAATTTGGCGAAAAATGGTATTTTGCATTGTTTTTCTAGTGGCAAAGAAGTGAAGTGCAGTTCATGTCTGATGTCTGCATGTAGACCAGTAGACGTAGTCACATAACTTGCTTATAAATTATAATTAATAAGATAATAAATCACTCATTATATCACAAGCATAACTATGCTGTGTGTCAACTAGTCTAAGTGTGTTAGTAGTATCGCTATTTCGATACAAAAAAAACAATTACAGTAAACTATGAAAATTCAATGTCTGAATTTTCTATTTAGCCTACTTACTGACTTACAGGATCTTCAATAGATAGATAGATGTATTTGAAGACTCAAATAAATAAAAGGAGAAAGCGAGCAAAATCTTTAAAAAAGTTCAAAACATGAGAAATATTATGTACATATTATATCAGTATATATATCGGTATATAGCCAATATATAGTCTATACCACGGGTTCTCAAACTTTTGGTGTTGCGGAGCCCTTGAAAAGGTTTACTATTATTCACGGAGCCCCAAAAAATAAATGTTAAAATTGTTACTTTTAGGTTATTATTTTTCGGCAAGTTAAAAGTACTTTACTTATTTTAAATGCTGAACCTTAGGGTTAATACAAGTCATACATAAATTTAAATTTCAAACATAAATTATATATATACTGAAGCTGTAAATTTCACACTTGACAAACATTAATAAATTAGTGGTCGAATCTTTTCCCTTTCGACATTTTTGGAAGACCTAAAAGGCCGCTAATAACGTGCGCGATTGCATTTTGTTCGATTGCCGATTTTTTTCGTCAGCATGGCGTATCTTTGAACCTTTAAACATCTTTACCGCCGGTGTTTATTCTCCGTGAATCAAAAATTTCCCTCGGCATATATATACATGTATTGTTACACATTGACGACGTTAATTGCTTTTTTGTTCTCGTGGGGAATTATGAGTTCAATGTGAAAATTATGTTACCATATTATAGCCATCGGCGATGAAATGCTAAAAATAATAATTAATAAAGGTAGAAGGTAAATCCGCAACTCAAATTTCTTGATTGAAAAACGGCATTCTAAAATATTAAAACTGAAACTTAGAAGAGAAGATCACAAATTTGGTTTTCAGCAGACTCATCTCAGATAGAAAACGTTTTTATAGACATTGTAAATTACAAAATTTGGTGTTATGTTAGGTTTTCATCGTAGTAACTGCGAAATCGAAACACAGTCAATTGTGCGCGCGATGTACCTTTTTTCCCATTCTGAAACTACCGACGGAGCCGCACGCAGTCAATTGTGCACGTGATCCGCGATGTACCTTTTTTCATTCTGAAACTAGCGACAGAGCCGAATGCAATAAAATAAATTTCAATTGTTCGTGTTTTGCACCGACAGTGTGAGTAACGAGGAGCACAATTACATTATAACGACGAGACACGTTAAATGCTCGCATCGGTCATGGATTGAATATTTTACGCAACAGAAATCTCGTTATCCGTTTTTTTAATCGCGAAGAATGTTGCGCGGAAATTTCCGATTCCAATTTTGAACCATTTCCCTCTTAAAAATCCTGGCTACGTTCCTGATTATAAATAATGTCATTTTTTCAATTTCGCCTCTTTACCATATTTCGAGGCTATATTGTTGTCAGATTTTATCTGAGCTGTTATCGCTTCTTTGAACAGTTACAAAATTTTGAGTCAGTATTTGAAAAGTAATCGAATAGCTCGCGGAGCCCCTGGGTTTCTCTCGCGGAGCCCTGGGGCTCCGTACGAAGCACTTTGAGAACCTATGGTCTATACAATATTATACAATAAACACAAACCTTGTAAAACAAGGCAAGGGCCATAAAGTCAGAAAGTATATTGTTTCTTTGTATTATTCAATATTAGTGTAGTTGGTATTCGGAGATTGCAGAGAGAAAAAATTACATCCATAAATATTGGGTAATTGTCTAATGTCCTTTCCAGTGCGGTGTGGCTCATTGTGCTAAGCGTTAGGAATACGCTCGCCACCGCATCTCTAATTACTTTACGTAGGTTCGCAGGTTCTAATCCCATGTGGGGGTCATGTGCGAGAGTATTGCTGGACTCCTCGCCGCCGTAGGGTGGTTCACGTAACCCCTGGGATTACGGCTTCCTCCACCATCAAGTCCATGCTTCTGAAAACAAATAACTAACTAATCCCATACCCGACATGGAATGGTAACCGGACGAGATGCCGTGGTTCGCTACATGGTTAAGCCATCTTATGGACTTTCCTTTCCCCCGGGATAAATATGTAAATCCTATCCTACTTGGGCCTAGTGTAGTGATGTAATTTTTTGATGGCGGAGTCAGGTGGGGGTTAGGATTGACATGACACAAAAATCGTTATGCTACGCCCACTAGACTGACTAGAGGTACGAGTCCGAATACTTAACACTCATGATATTAAGATAGATTGTTGAATTTGGGATTCCTATTACTGTCATTAGTGAATATACCATAGGCGCTCTGTATATTCTAATAATAATTAAGCAATCAGACAGCAGCGATGGCGGAACAAAAATTTGAAGTATCACAAGCTGCAGGAATTGTGCGTGATGCGCAAGGATTTGCATTCATTCCTGCAACTCAACGTCCAGATGGTTCATGGAGAAAAGCAAGACGAGTGAAAGATGGTTATGTCCCTGATGAAGACGTAGCTCGGTACAAAAACAGAGCAGCAAGAAACCGAGCGAATGCTCCAGCATGCCCCGGCTTATCTTCCAATCCCAATCCTGTTTCCATGATAAAATCGACTGAACGAACGACTTTAGAAAAACTCAGTTCTCCAATTGAAAGTGCTTCTGCAGAAAATAAAAATTTATCCAAATCAGCGAAAAAGAACTTGAAACGTAAAGAACAACGTCAGAAGAAACAAAACGAGATGACGAAAGCTTCTGTTATTGCGCAATATGAAACGGTTAAAACGGAAAATGTTACAGATGGTACTAAAAGCATAAATGAAAAACTTGCTTCTGTTGCAATTAATGATGTCAGTCAAAGTCAAGATGACGACAGTGCGAAAAAAATTAAAAACCTAAAAAAGAAACTTAGACAAATTCAAGAACTCAAAGAAAAAATAGACTCTGGGGTAATAGAGAATCCTGATAAAATGCAACTTGAAAAAATTGCTAAACAAGATGGTCTCGAAGCAGAACTATGGGATTTAGAAAAAGGTTCTTAGAATTGCTATAGGTTCCCATTTTATGTGACGCTGCATTGAATTTGTTCGAAACATGTTCTGCAATTTAGCATTGATATATAAAAAATGATATTGGTATTCCATAATATCCAAATGTCATATTGGTTATCGCATTAATCTAACCCAGGGGTGTGCAACATTTTTGTCGGTGGGCCACATAACCAACATCAAACATCTAATCTAGCTGGGCCACACTAAAATATGGGAAATCCGACTATCGCTCAGCCCTACAGTAATAAAAGGCATCGAGCAAAACAGCAAAAGATTTATTGCTGCAAAAAGAGCAAAAAAACTTGTATCTTTACTAGGGCTGTCCAAGCGAACCGAATATTCGAAATCGAATCGCAAATTATTCGAAGTGTTTTTTGGCTAATTTACGAATGGCGAAAATTTGGTGCCTAATGCGCCTCACGACCACCTTTGCACCGTTTTTTACTGGGCAGGCAAAACCATGTTCTATGCTTTCTTAATTATCCATTCCATGCATGGTCATAAATAAAAAGTTATGGGTAACAATGATTTAAAGATGACGTTTTTTGAGAGAACACAAGGAGAAAAAGGCAAATTTTGTGTCAGTCAAAAACGCCAGTTCTATAAATAGAATCGATTTGTAGCTGTTGAGTCAGTAATCATAGGAACATGATACAGAATTGAACCAGGTTTTGGAGGTCCAATATCTTTTTTCACTTGAATTTGTAATTTCTCCTAATGGCAATACTTTGTTTCATCCATTTATTACTATGACAAATAATTGCACTCTTGTGAGTTGATGATGGCTGTTGTACAGAAACAATATGGTCATCAAATATTAATGTAATCAAACTAGCTCTGAATTTGTGAGTTCCTGAAATGCAATTTTGAATTTTTTGGGCAACAGTTATATCTATATTAATAGTTGTTTATCATTTTACTGAAAATTACACAAAAAATATTGAGTTAATAATACTAATGATAATAAGACTAAAATAGCAACTACGAGCAATAAAAGAGTCTGTACAATTTCCAATTCTTAAAACTTGATAGTTTTCGAAACCCTAATTTTTTGACCAGTTCAAGAAGGCTTGTGATCTCCTTTTATAACCCTGGAAACATAGTTATGCGAAATATTTGCAATAATTCAGATATAATAACTGCACATACGTTATCACAATATTGAAGAGGAAGTTTTTATTGTACATTAGAGACAAATTTATGATTGCACAATATTATTCGGTTTGATTCGAGAAAAATATTCGGTTCGATTTGAATCAAAAAAATATTCGATTTTGGACAGCCCTAATCTTTACCCATCTTAGTGACTTTTTAAAACATCAACAATCGGATTATAATTTCATGCTTAACTGGAAATAATTTTAATTTTGACAAGAGTCACACTAAAATCCTCAGCGGTCCCAGTTGTGGCCCACGGCGTACCTGTTGCACACCTCTGGTCTAAACGCACGTATGTTGGCATTACATATTGAAGACTCCGTTGGAATTGCATGACCAACATTTGACCCAGGAAGAAAAAACAAAGGAGTTATAAAACTTGGGTATAAGGGGTATAAGCCTGCTTGTCATCTGACCTAAGAAGAAAAAATGGAGTTTAAAACTGCAGTCTTTATATCCTTAATAAATTCGGTAGAAAAAAATTATCATCTTTTTTCCAGCAAGCATTTGTGCATTATGTTTGGAAGTTTCCCTGTAATGTGTGTTTCTTAGTATATTCTATTCATCCCAGTATGCTATTATTTTTTGCTCTCTTTCACCTCCATACAATTCAAACTGATGAAATGCTTTATTTGGAACTGTCTAGATTTCAAAACTTAGAATATATAAAACTTTGAATTGAACTGTATACTCCATCAGACATATAAATTGAAAATCTTGATTGGAAATGGGGTTGTCCAATATTTTACACTATACAAGATTCAATACTTCTTACATTTTTGACAGTTAAAAAATGTTGAGTTTATTTGAATACACAAAGTAAGTGATATTCGAAAATTAAAGATGAAATTGTATATGAAATGTATTCAAATTGTATATGAAATATATAAAAGTTCAATCTTCCAAATTTGAAATACAGTTTTCAAAATTTATTATTTAATAATTTTTTTTGCGTAATCTCACAAAGTAAATTAATGTAAAAAGTATGAATTAAAATTGATTTCAGATAAGAATCCTTAAATGACATACTACTGTATTTTCCAGGAACTTTTTTAAAACTGATTTTTCAACTGTATTGTAATATTTTAACTCAAGCCTCGTTTCAATCATTACTTACTACCAAATAATGTACCAATAATTCTATATAAAGGTCAGTTTATACTTCTGCGTGAGTGTCTGCGACCTTGCTTTGAGTAAATTTTCATGGAAAAAATATTGGAGACAGACATTCGATCTATGAGAATGATTTGTTTATTTTTGTAATAGTTACTTTTTAATCATCAATATATTATTTTTGTTACTTATTCATATTTTGACACACAAAATTTATTTAACAACATAGGCAAACTGACAGCTTGGCTGAGAGTTCTTTGTTTGTATTGTTCAGAAATGATCTTTTGGGGAATTACAATACTTTTAGACTTGTTAGTATGGTGTGATACGATTTTCGCTATTTGTTTGGTTGATTGTCATGGCTCTCAATTCCAGCAATCATTAATAAATATGAGTTATTATCATTTGATAGCCTTATTTTACAGAGATTTGATCTAGTAAATTCAATCTTTGTTAATTTATCCAACAAAAACATGGCGCAATACAAAGGAGCAGCAAGTGAAGGTACACGGGCAATGCATATGCAGAAAAAAAGAGATAAAGAAAAGGAAAAATTAGAACTCATGAGAGCAAAGATTGTTAATGTAAGTAAAGTGTCATCATTCGCACTTGTTGAAGTATTTTTCTTATTATGCGTTTTCATGCTTTCTCTCAGAATATTACGTTTTACAAGCAGCGTTCAGTGCGGGGACCTACTTTATTTTAGAATAAACTGAATATTCATTAGCCGTTGTCCTGGATTAGTTGGGGGGGGGTGAATGCGAGATCATTACCCTGCAACTTCAACATGTTTAGACATCTCCAGATAGTTTTTTGTTATAATCAATGTTTTCGCGTCAAAATTATGTTTTATGTTGAAATCTTACAAACTTAAATTTAGCATATGATATATTCTTGGTGTTTGACACTTTGTGCTTTAAAACACACTTGCTATAATCTATATTAATAATTAATCAATTGCATTGTGGAAGATCTTATATACCAGGGAAAGATGGAACAAATAGTTTATAGATTCTGATTGTATTTATTGTGTTATGTCAACTTCTTTATTTCGTTTCAGGAAAATGCAATCAAATCAAACATACATAATAAATTTTCTGCCCATTATGATGCAGTCGAAGCAGAACTCAAGTCCAGTACAATTGGTGAGTTTTTTTGACTTTTTCTAAAATTGACATCTCAGATTTTGAACAGGGATAGCTTAAATATTGGTAACCCCCACTTTATTAAATTAACGTTATTAAATTAAATGATCAGTATACACATGTTTCTCAAAGCACATGCAAGCAAAAAAGTTTGAGAAGCACTGCTCTATTGGTATGGCCATTTGCTGCTATTTACTGCTTGTGGCCAATTTTTAAAATAATACAACTTGAAAAGTTATCAAGCCATTTTTTTATAGGTCTTGTAACACTGACTGAAATGAAAGCAAGACAAGATCTTCTTGTAAAAGAAAGGGAAAAACAAATTGCAACTTCAAATGAAGAAGCAAGATTGTAAGTTCAGATTTTGTTTTCTCTGATATATTTCTCAATGTGTGTATCAACAAGAAACACGCTGTTGTTTCTTCTAATACAATCATTCTAAGATTGAAAATTTTGCTACGAACATAATTCCGGAAATCAGGAAAAATGTTTTCTGATAAGTACTGGAATATTTGTGGTGTTTCACACTTCCTAGTCTCTAGATAAAATAGCCACTTAGATAAGATAGATAAGATAACCACTTATTCCTCAAAAGCGTCAAGATTTGAGAAGACAACTATTATTCATCCAGTTAAGCATACCCAATTAAATTGATTATGATAACGCCCAAACTGAGATAGTTGGGAAACCAAGATTTGAACCTGCTGTCTCCAAATTATGTGGTAATAACTGTGAGTAATTTATTGCTCTTCAGAAAAAAGAAAGAAAAAGAGAAAAAACGGAAAGCGGAAAAACAGATTCAAAAATCGACTCTATCGTTTGATCCAGAAGATGAGGAAGAGGAGGAGGAAGGTATGTATTTCTTCTGTCGATGCTAATTTACCGTAAGAGTCTTGTTCTGAGCTGTCACAAGATAAAATCACTTTTTCACTTTATACAGAAGAAATAGCAATTAAGAAAAAACCTAAGAAAAATCCAGACGTTGATACTAGTTTTCTACCTGATCGAGACAGAGAGGTAAGCACATTCACTGAAATTTGTTTCCTTTTTTCTACTTTTTCACCAACGGACAATATTTGGATCATGTCTTAATTGAGCATGATAATATGTATTGTATAATAGTCAATGACACTCATCCAATTCATTCTGTTCTCAATTTCAATTTTTTATACAATGCTTATTAAAGGCTTCCACTCTGAACATGGCTCTGTACAAGCAGAGGTACGGTAACTGTATAGATAAGGAAGTACTATTTTTTGGAATCAACTCGTTCAATCCACATTTTGTCATAAATGTGGGATAAATATTTATTTATAAACAAATACAAAACTATTAGGTCACAGGTATGGGTTAAATCAGAGGTTCTCAGCCTTTTTCGATATACCCTTTTGGGTCTCTTCACTCTTCTCTCATTATACATTTGTACCGTTATTTGGGTCAATGTTTAAAAGATTCTTAGCATGTGTTACCCGCAACTTGCACTCTGGCTTTCATATAATTCATAATGTGTCCATAAAATTGTATTGTAGAAGAAGTTATTAACTGAACAATATTATTAAAACTGCATGAAACACAAAGTATTTCTTCTGTCCTTATTCCTCTGCTACTGGGAAATGAGATATGGTAAAGTGAAATCTCAATTCCCATTTCATGCTGACCTCGTTTTACTCCTAAATCGCACTGAAAACATACTAAAGTTGTTCTTTGTCTAGGCCGCTGAAAACAGATTACGAGAAGAATTAAGGCAGGAATGGCAAGAAAAACAAGAAACAATTAAAAGTTTGTAATATCTAATAGATCTGATCATTGTTTATTGGACTGATTATTCATTTTCAATAATTATTTTCACCATCTTTAGATGAAGAAATTGAAATCACGTATAGTTACTGGGATGGATCTGGCCATCGAAAGAAGACAAAGGTGGAGTACAATATTTTATATTCAAAGTTTGCGCTCGAATTTTTTGAATTCAAGTATTTTTTAATCAGGACTCTATTACGAATTACGAACAGTGTCTAAGATGCAACAAGCTAGCTATATACTGTTGGCAGTATTTCTTTTTTCATGATAACGTCAGTAGTTGTATGTTGATAGGATTTGGAATCAGTTTCAATGTACAATTTCTTCAGCAGTCATTCTGGTATCAGTGGTATGATGATCATGCATTTACTCACCTCTTGCTGTTATATTTTTTGGTGAAGGAAGAAAATAGATGTTTTTATATACTAGAAAATGCAGAGTTGGGTTTTAGGTTTAAGCTGCAGTTTTAGGTTTAAGCTGTTGATGGGCGCCAGATGCTTCCAGTCACTTCTTTGCTCATGTTTTTTTATTGGCCTTAACAAAGCAGGTTATCTCAAAGCAAAGTTAACTACCATGCTGATATGCCAAGAGTTACTGACACTATATTGTTAGCGGGGAATTACTGTACACGTTTGTAAATACCAATTGACCAGAGTCTTGGGAGAAAATCAGGTCATAACTATCAGGAAAACAGAATGTACGGGTATAAGAAAGCGGGATTGAGGTGATATTTTTGTCTCTTTTTGTTTAAATGACCTTCCATAAAAAGCACCATTTTTGGTACTCTTAACCAATAATTAAGGCTGTATGGTGTTAAAGAACATTGCAGACTGAAAGCCACATCATATTGATTACAATAACAGTGGATGTTCGAGAAAATATTCCTTGCATATTGAAAGTTGTTTTATTCTGTTCATTTTATTTTCAGATGAAAAAGGGGAACAGCATTCAGCAATTCCTTATTAAATGTCTTGAACAATTAAGAAAAGATTTTAGTGAACTTCGATCGGCAGGTTGGTATCTAGAACAGAGGTGCACAACACGAGTGCTAAATGTGACATGCCATAAGATTGCATGTGGTTGTGTCATAATATTTTAAATAGGCAAATTTATTCAAACATGCCTAGCTCATGGTTTTATCAGCATCTAGCCAGTAGTCTTAATGTCTGATTTTACAACTTTTTATCAACACCTTAGCATTCTTCTGTTGTCAGGAAGGCTCTGAGGCTATCCCATTAGCTTTTTTAAGGTTAAGACTTGGTAGTATTTCTAACACTGATAAAAGATGAAAGCACTTGAAAGGACTAAAATCTTCCTGTTTTGGCATTGCTTACCCAATTTGTTACACTTCGGATGAGGTGGAAGGCATGGGATTCGAACTTAGGATTTTAACCTGTCATACCATCATAGTGAAATTTACCCACTAGGCTATCACGCATACGACATAAAGTGTATAAAATATCCATTGCATTGTAATATTGACTGAGTTTACTGAATTTAAATTGTTTGCCACATTCACCTTTTCCATTTTCCGGTCCATTTTCATTTATATTTACAAAATTACAATAGGCTATCGGCAGTGGCGTAACTACCCATTGGATCTTGTGGATAAATCCAGGGGTGGCACGTTGCTGGGCGGAAAAATGTGGCAAAACGTTTTAAACGAAGCGGAAAAACGTTTTAAATGAACCAAGGCAGTCACATTAAGCGACCTAATTTATCAATGAAGCCAAAAATTACACAAGATATACGTCTAAACCAGGTGTTTTATGGCTCAGGGCCCCCTCCAGTGCCTATTTGCACTCGCGGTCTTCGTGTTCGCCATTCCAAAAGCGAAACGTGTTGGATTGTATTATGTGTTTACGACCTGTTATGTAATGCAAAAGCAAACCACAGACAAGAAAGTAAACGCTCTCCAGTATACAGTCAAAGGGAATCTTGCGCTTAGGACTGTCTGACGAGGTTTATTGTATTAGGCGCAGTCTTTTTTATAGCTAGACGAATGTCAACATCAAGACGGTTTATGAATTTTGTTTTTGTGGTAAGAAAAATTGGCTTTTGCTCTGACAGAAACCCGAACTTAGTCAATGTGCGTTCCTGTCAAATCTAACTCGCTTGGCAGCAAAGAAACCGATGCCAACGTCTTTCACCGGGGGTTGATTTTTGTCTCGGTATTTTGGAGTTCAGATGGACGTAATGATTTATTGCTCATTACATACAAGCAATGCCAGCATTAATCACATTCTCTGGCATCTCAATTTACTTTGGTAAAGTCAACGGAACTGTTGTTGTTAGTACATCTTTCTGTGCTTGAAGGCCCAGGAGCGCAGCTATTCATGTGTTCATCCAAAACGGTACTGCAGTTCCATTTTCGTAATTGCGTCTATAATACGCTAGCGAAGTTTATCTCGCAGTCGAGTGGAACTGCCATTCTGTAGGTTAGACCAGACGGCCTACCGGCGAACTATTTTCATTGGTAGATTTCAAATTCCATTATGATCAAACAATTCACGCACAAGAAAGTGAATACACCCTGACCCTGTGATCGCAAATAATCCTATTCAGGTAATGAAACTGCCTAGAAAGTATGCAAACGAAGTCGCTATATAATAAATTATTAGTCTTGTGTCGTGGCCCCCCTCGAACTGCTTCGTGGCCCCTGTATGTAGGGAGCCCTCGGGTGAGAACCACTGCACTAGTACAATCAAGTGATTTTACATTTAAAAATGACGCTACAGCGCTGGACGTAATGCAGTGGTTTGCAAACATCGTTTATGTGAATCAACACCTTATTTATTCACGAGTCTCAAGCTTTACCTCACCGTTGCCGTTTCTTTCACAAGCTACGAATAACGAAGTCAAAATCTAAGTTGATAAAGTTTTACTTGAGATTGACTATGGGAGAAAGCAGGCTGCCTGTGCGAGCAATACTGCCCATTGAAAGTGATTTAGTCAAGACATTATCTTTTGACGATTTAATTTCTGGATTTGCTTCAATGAAAACTAGACATTGAATTTAGAACTTTCGATAAAATTTACTATTTATTGTTTTAATTCTTCTGTTGTGTGGAATTTCATTCAGCTTTTACGACGGTGTTGAGGGGACGGCATTTTGCGCAAAGATCCATGGGCGCCACATTGCGTTGTTACGCCACTGGCTATCGGCTATGAGAATTTGATGTATGTATGCCTAATATAAATCTGCCAATGAACCTCCAAGCTCCAAGATTAGGCTCATCTTGCTATAGCAAATTAAATTGCGAACTTTTGCCTGAATCTATCTCAGAAAAACATTTACGTATTTCTAGGTGTTGAACATATTATGTACATTAAAGAAGACTTGATTATTCCACATCATTATACATTTTATGATTTTATTGTAACAAAAGCTCGAGGAAAGAGTGGAGCTTTGTTTTCATTTGATGTTCATGATGATATAAGATTGATAAGCGATGCAACTGTTGAGAAAGATGAGGTATGATTTACACTTTTACTGGATAGGATTTACATATTTAGAAAAGCCGACAAATTGGCTTAGTCGCACCTCTCGTCCACTTACCAGTTCATTCTAGGTGTGAGATTAGTCGGCCAGTTATTTTTTCCCGGTAGCATGGCCTTTAATGGTAGAGCGGTCTCGACTACATGAACCAACCTATGCCGGCGAGGAGTCCAGCATTCCTCTCGCACATGTTAGTGCTGATTCGAAAAAAGATTTAATTTCCTCTCACTAGCCAATATTGAGGGTTTACATACATATACATAAGGAATAAAATATTTGAATTGAGTAATTTCTATTTTGAAAAAGAAAATACCATCCTTTCAATGCAAATGCCTCGAGTATCTGAATATAAGGTGTCAGCTCTATGTGCTTAGATTAATGTTATTCTCCAAAACGAGTTTTTCTGCTTCATCTTTTTAGATTTTGTCAAACAAGTATGTATACCAATTTTGTATAAACTTTGTTACAAACCTGGCAGGTAAAAAGTATAAAAGAAACCATGCCCATAGTGTGAACTACTTACTGGTACTTGACTGAAGTTGTTGACAATATCTTTTTTAAAACTAGATTAATAAGCCCCCTTTTTATATTGGTGAATCACCATTTTTCAGCATGATTCACAGATTTGTTTTCATATCCATGTATGCTCAAGGTATGTTTCATTTCAGTCACATGCTGGGAAGGTTGTTCTCCGACAATGGTATGAAAAGAATAAACACATATTTCCTGCAAGTAGATGGGAACCTTACGATCCAGAGAAAAAATGGGATAAGTATACGACAAAGGGTTCCAGTTCATGAAGAATGCAATTTTGCAGTGTTGGATTCATGGCCAGCTTCCAAGTTTTTGGGATGGATAACACAACGCGGAAAGCTGTTTTAATGCTACTTGCCATTGAATTTGAACTGGGCTTGGGGTGGGTTTTTTATGCATTGCAGTTGATACTAATATGCCTGATTACATGTCCACTGGAACCGGTCTAGCAGACTCTAAAAGGAAACTAATTCAGCATATTAAAGCAAGACTAAGTAGAGTTAGTCTCGTCTTGCAACTCAAGCTAATATCTTCAGTAAAATCGAACATTTACAGTATTGGAGTTATGGTGAAATGCCATTTAAATGTTTTAAAGACTGGTGCGTTTTAACAGTTTCACTGTTAAAAATTATCAATCATTAAATTTGTTAACTAGCATTTCATCGTAACTTCAATACTGTTAATATTGTTTTTTCACACATAACATCATTCAGAACTGTGTACTTCGTTACAAGCCGAAATACCGATACCAGTACGGTAGCTGTGCCTCAAACAACCACTAAACAGACAGTGTTATTCAAGTTTCTTACAAACATATCGACTATACTCATTTCTTCACCAGTATCCATACTTGTATGGTGGACGCGAGGTTCCTATCATTCAAAGAATCAGTATATCCTGCCAGGGTCGGATCATGCCCTTTTACAGTTTTCAAGGCCATGAGATCTTAAGACCTTGGTGCCCTATTATAAGAAGTAATAATAATATACAGTGCAATGATGAAACCAGTTTTCATGTTATTTGAAATTAAATATAGAGTTTCGAAATTCATTACTGACTGACGGCCCAATTATGATTAATTTGCATGATGTTTTTTGAAAATGGTTTCCATGCCTACAAACATTTATAGAAGTTTATGATGATACTTACAAAAAAAAGGCTTCATGTTTTGCAACAGTATTTTGCTCTGTTTGTAAGCAATTCACTGATAACTAACATTCCTTCCTCCAAAAGAACCAACCGGGATAAATTAAATTGTGGTCAAACGTTTGAAAGACTTGTGCTTTTTAACAGAGCATTCCACCGTAACTCCAATACAGACATCTAGTCTTAGTCCATGGCCAACTGCACACTTCGTCCAATGAGCATATATATATGCACATTGCTTGGTCAGACCACTTACGTCGACTGCCGACGTCATCGGGCACATAGCTCGCGCACGGTCAGATTTCCATCGTAATTACATGGTCAAAACGCTGGGCGGGAAACAAAGCAAAAATTGATTTGGTAATGTTAGGTAACAAAATGCACAGGGTTAATTACGTGGTTCTGTATCGTTAAGTTCTTGCCTGCGCACTCCGATGTATGTTGATATTAGTTCTGTGTTGGAGACAAAATGCAACGGAATTTGGTTGAATGATGTTAAACAGCGAACTGCTGGTAATACATGTTTTGAGTAATACGTGGTTTTGTATTTCGTGGTTGTCAACGTACCGTACTTTGCGGTACACTTACATAAAATATATTATACTGTGCTAAAAGACCCCAATGCCGTTTTCGACAAATGGTAAAGGTAAGATTCGTGATGATTTGAGCCAAGCTGCTGTAGAAAATGTCAAAACAAAATGCACAGCCTAGGGGTTCAGGTGGGTATACGAATTAGGCAACGTAAGAGTGCCTGGAGAACCGAAAAGAGATGCAGGACTTTAACCAGAAGAAGAAATTGTGCGCGTTATGAAGAATGTATTTGATCGGCTTCATCGGGAGATGTCAACAAATTTCTCACGAATAAAAGACTTAAATACAAAATTTGGATTTCTCTTTGACGTTAAGACACAGATGGCCACGAACTTTTCACCGAAATTGGGGATTGCAGAATGCTGCTCAGTAACAGAACTGAAGGTCAACCAGAAACTCCTTTGGCTCTTCTTGGTTTTATTGTGTCTTGTCTAGACCAGGGCTTCCCAAACTAGGGGCCGCGGAACGAGTTCTAGGGGCCGCGAAAAGAACACCAATTTTACACAAAGTACTATATCTTTTTCACTCTTGATTTGAAATACAATTATTAAAAATAGTGTAAAACGATAATTTCACAATCCGAGTGAATATACATCATCATAACGTGTTTTCCCGAAACTAAGACATTGTCTTCAATTTTCTTTCGAACATTGAGGCTCATTTTGGGGGGATGTAGAGAATAACGAGATTTTTTTAAATATACAAAATATATATGAATACCGAAATATTAAAATTAAATATGATACCAATTTAATAGCACGTTTTCATTTAAAGTAGCTGCTACATATAGATTATTAACCATTTAAAAAGTAGTATCTCCAGAAATATGCTCAAGTTACGACATGTGAAACATATCGTACGTATAGATACATTTCAATATAATACCTTTTTTGCAATAAGTTTTATATAAACGAACAAACAAAACCTAACAACAGTCAGTGAAATCACATTTATTGGGCCATGGTAGAAAAGCCTGCTTTGTATAAATATGAAATCCCCATGGAGATGGGGTGCGCAAAGCTTTTTAAACCAAGGAAAAATAATCGTTATCTACAGAAAACCGAATTTTCCGAATTAAACTTATTTATTATAACACCATCACGAAATTTTGCGACGCCCTAGCAGAATTGAAACTTCCACGGGATTAGGTGAACAAATTGCGCTATCGACGAAGTCTTTTTTCAAGGCGAGCGGTTGAATTAAAATCATTTTTAAAATTCAGGCTTGGACTTATTTTGGGGAAACACGGTAGGATCATTGCGCTTGCATAACAATGCATATTCTGATCGTTTGACCCGATTTGCGTGCTTGCATAACAATGCCGGCTTTAAACGCTAAGCTAGCGGTTCCGGAAAGCGATTTGCTCAGTGCGTATCGAAACATATTACATATTATATTTAATTCCAAATGTTTTATTGTTTCTTATTAAAGCAAATGATGTGTATAGGAATCAAATTCATTTTACCGTTCTATATTATTTACTTTCTGTTACGTTGTTTCGTAACAGGTAAACCCTAATGCTGCAATTATGTTTTTGTTATTGAGTAGTCCTATTAAAAGTTGAGAATTAGCTGTGTCAATAAAATATCAAAAATGCATATTTTGAACTGTTTAGCATTGTTAGCGTGAACAAGGGCCGCGAAAAATTTTAATATATTAAAAGGGGCCGCGAGCTCAAAAGTTTGGGAAGCCCTGGTCTATACGATGTTTTCCCGAATCCGCGAATTTCTCCACAAATTTTGTTAACATTACCAGTTTCAATTGCAAGCATTGTTCCATTAAAATTTGAATTGTTTTTACATATACAATTAAATGTGATAGTAAATATGATTAAACGTGGAGGTCGGGGCGCCAATTTTATAGTTTGCCCCGGGCGCAAAATATTCTGGCTACGCCTCTGACACGATTGCCATTACGCATTGGTTTGTAGGCTTGAAGCTTGCGAGATATTATGAGCAAAACTAGTGCTGGACTCTTCATCGTCGTGGCTCGTGGGGTGGTTCACGCAACCACTACCCAGTTAAATCATTCGCCACGATTTAATCCGGGTCTATTCAACTGGGAGACCAAAGTCCGAATGTTTTCATTTCGGCCCGCATCATATTTTTTTTTTATTTTGGAGTATTTATTGCCCCATGAAATTTGGATATCTGTGAAGGTTTCCTTTTATTAAAAACTTTTGTTAAGTTTAAGAGGTTACTTTTGTTCATCATTTGTTCATATTTGCACCTAACTCAATACGAAATAAACGGTGGCGTCATAGTAAACAATGCAAATAGCTCTGTCTTAATATGGCCATTATTTGCGGTTACGCAGTTCTCCGCGAATCGCCTTTATGTTAACTCTCTAACTTTATAGTCGCACACACTGCAGAATATTCAGATTCACGGTGAAATATATATTCCCGACTAGAGTGACCGAATTCCAGTAATGAGGAATTCGAATTTGAGGTTTCGTATACGAATCTTTGATAAATAGTGGCCCTGATATTAGTGCAGCGGGGCGACTTTACTGAAATATGTGCTCGCCACTAATATAGTTATAATAAGATCCCGTGTGCTGCAAAGCCACACAAATAGGTTCAAAGAGAGAGACTTTATTAAATAGTGTAAAATCCACGCTTAATGTAAAGGATAAAAGCATAATACAATAAGCTACATGATATGTAGATTAGTCATAGGGAAACGCAAACGATCAAACAGGGAAAGACCCAATTTAACTCAAAAAGATTTTTATTACTATGCGAGTGTATATTACACTACTATTCAAGTTCAATTTGAAAGCAACAAAAAAGAATCATTAAATAGTAATCAGAAGTCGTGAAAAATAAATAATTCTAGAATATAACTATTTGGCCAACTTGAAAGACCTAAGAAAATGTTATAACATAATAACTCAATTCCATAATACAATTTTGATATAAACAAAAAAATAATTTCATATACAGCAACAATCAGCATCAATGTAATAACTTGGGACACTTTTCTGCATTTTTTCCCACCTAAAAACTTCTAGCAATAATAAGTTGGTTTTAGCTGAAATAGGTGTGATATGTTGTTCCAAGAACAATACAATTTCAGTTTTGTTCGATTTTGTTTTCTTGTGGTTTAATTGTTTTTTTTGTTTTGTTCTTTGTTTTTCTACTAGCGGAGAAATCCAAAATCCTACTGTCGAAATGAATGACTTGGCTGTGATCAGATATATTGTGAGCTAAGTTTGGCGTGTAAACGGTATGGCCAACCGGAACTTTTAATTTATCAGCGTGATTTATACTGACATCGTCCGTAGGATCAGTATCATTGATTTTTTTTCTCATTACTACTTATTCCAGAGTGATCTTCCCGAGATAGATCTGTTGTATGAACTTTCGCAGGGTCAAGGTTGATAACTTTATAAGGAAATGTTGTTGGTGCATCGTTGACAACCAATACCATATTATTTAGTTCAAAGTCCTCCAACTGTCTTAAAAAGTTACTGCGTTGGTCCTCAGGAATTGAGGCTTGATCGAGCAATATTACAAACCAAACATTTTCATTTTTAATGAAACGATGAAAAAGGCGAATATTCTCCAAACACTCTGCCTTATCTTTAATGCTGATATCTCCATCCTTGATTGCCAGACTTCTATAAATAACTCTTAGAACGACCGCTATTGAAGATGTTGGGATGACTGCTATCATAATGCTCCAATAATAAAAGGCGCCCACAATACTTGCAATAATGCCGAATACTGTAAAAAAAAGGACAAACCAGATGGGAACTTGTTTATGAATGATTTTCCGACAATGTGTTTTGTAAGAGTAGCTTTCGAATGATCCCTCACTTCTCTGGGAAATTTTGCTCCACTTGATGAGTTTTTCAACATTGACAATTCCCACAGAGCTTTGAAATTTCTTCACAACAATTTGGTTGAAAAATTCCTCCACATTCTGGTCTTTCTTAATTTGATGCTGAATAAGAATAAATTTCATGTTTGAGCAATTGTTTTCACGTGGAGGAACTTGCATAATTGTAAAGTAAAATTTCAACTTCAGTGAGTAAAGGTTCATCACATTAGACGTACTGTGACCAACTATCACTTTTATGCAGAACACAGTTACAAAGAAAACTCCTATTATCCCCCACCAATAGCCAGTGCACATTAGTACACTCCCGGCAATTAATATTATCATAAGCACAATGAAGACGATCCTTCCCTTATGTGTTGATGTAATTAACTTGGTTTGGGATGAAAATGATCCCTTATCTTGATCTTTGGAAGATTCGATCATAACGTTATGATCGGTTTTCGTATTCAAATATTTTTCCAACGTGTTCTTGAACTTCTCGCTGACCAAAGATTCTGCCACATTTTTCAAATTAATACCAATAACATCTTTTTTGACTTGTTCGTAAATTTCTTGAGCGATTGCCTTGCAAAATGATTCCATTTTAAGAAGTAT